GATAGATAGATAGATAGATAGATAGATAGATAGATAGATAGATAGATTTAAATGTACTTAAAAGTCTACATTCTCCAGTAACAAACATGAAGTGTACAGTTAAACTATTGCAAGACATGTTATTGCATTTGTTGAACAAAAGATTAATTCGAGACCGATTTGGATCCTTGCATAAGAAGTTAGTCATTTCTTATTTCTGGTGAAGAACCACCTGTTTGCCACCATCCTTTCCAGTCTTTGCTATATATAGCATACATTGAATACATACACTTACAGGGGTCACTGTTATAGTACGTTCACAGTGCTTCTTCTACTACTGATAAGAAGCTAAACTGTATTTCATTGTTTTGTATGTATACAGGTGTAATGTAACTTTAATCTAATCTAAACCCAGAATAATTATTTGGGGTAAAACAGCAAACAAGCCAACTGTCATCAATCTTGAAGGGAGGTAACAACAGACTGAGAAAGATTGATGTCAGTCGAATGAGAGATTTTTTCCCCCTCTGTTAATTCAATGGTGCTAACAAACTTCCAAATTAGTTTAGGATTCAAAGTGGCACAATTTGCCCCATTTGCTTTGGCAGAAATGGTGCAATAGGACTAATTTCCTTTTGAAAAGTTACTGTTCTGACACCATAGTATTAGCATCTACCCATTTGTATGGGTGCAAGCAAAAGTATCAATGCTACATTATAGTTTTCTATGTTAAAATTTCAATTACGGTAGTCTTAAATGTTATCAAATGTCTGGTTACATTCTTCACTAATAAGGGAAATGTTTGCAAGTCCTTAATTATGCAGCTGTATTATGCTCTGTGGTGTTTTTTAAATCTCTGTCCAACACTAAATGTACTTTTTTTCTGAAAAGGAAAATAAAATGCTTGTTTCCATATTCCATAAAAAAATATTGGCTTATGAATAGTAGTTGGTTAAAATACAGAACCTTATTTTCAAAAGGCTCAAATTAATTTGAGACACAAAAGCTTTGATCATGGACAGGCCAGGCTCCTATGTTATGCCTGAATTATTTAAGCAGGTATTGGGTCATCTGTGGCAACGAACCCAAAACCTTTGATCAGTAGCCAAAGAAACTACTCATACAAATATTAAATAAATAAAAAAACATTAGTAGCAGAATATATGAAAACTTGGTCCGCTTTAAGGAAGAATAAACACACAGAAGAGCTCTGTGAAATGTAATGGTTTATAGACAACAGCTGAAGATCACAGGATCCTTTTTATGCAATATAACCTCAAACTCTATTTATAACAGCCAGCAAACAAAGGAACATTGTCTATTATGAGACGGTGGTAAAATCTATGCATTTACATGAGCAGAGCATTCACGACCAGGTGCAAAGCGTCCATAAACCACAAAGAACAACAAGAAAAAGGTGATTATTAGGGAACAATAGGTCTTAAAGAAGAAGTAGCTCCAAAGTAGGAACTAAAGACGACAGGAAAACATAATGATAGGAACAAAATCGGAGAATCTTAGGAACCGTTTATAAATGTTCTCAGAATGATCTGAGAAAACCAAAACACTTGTGCATGGTGTGATAGTATAAGTATGCATATTTGAAATCTAAATTCAAATATAGGTTGATTAGGTGGAGCTCCACAGTGCGAATGAACATCTCAAGGGTCAGAGGTTAAAAAGGTGGGATGTTTTGCAATAGTCATTTCAATTAACTTATTTCAATCTGCGTTTCACTACATTTAAAAAACTTAACTAAAATATCAGCAACAGAACAACCTGACAAACAATCATAATGTTGAATTTTTTGGTGATGTCCAAGGTTTCAATATTTTATGTTAATTGTAAAAGCAATTTCTGGGAAGTATTAAGAACATTTTCATTATGGTTGTGTTCAATTGTCCTACTATACCCAAGCCCTGAACTAGAGTTCTGCATTTGAAAAGAAATTTGGATGCAAAGTTTATAAGTTTTCACAAAAAAAAACAAAAGTAAAAGGTGTGTAACAATCTAAACATCATGAGGTTTGAATGTATTGAGGTTTGTTATGTATTGAATTTATGGCATCCTGAACAATATCCGGTAAAAAAAAGGCTGCCACACGGGGAGGATTGTTGGTGTTTAATATCCTTACTTTGTGCAGGGGGTGCATGTTGTCTGGACCGTAGCCGGAGGGGCCAGGCTGAGAGTGTCCAGAGGAGGGGGGGCCTGGGCTGGGGCCCATCATGCTGTGAGAGGAGCCCGGAGATGGCCCGGGGCTCGGGCCCAGCATGGCCCCGGGGGATGGACCTGGCCCTGGGGAGGGACCGGGGCGAGGGGTGCCCCCCATGGGAGGATCTGGTGTTGACATCTCCCCAGATCTCCTGCTCCCAGATGAGCAGCAGGGACCTGAGAGAAGAGAGAAAAAGATGAAAAATGATCTAAAAAATATAGAAATGGAAGGCGCTTCAAAGAGAAAACAACAACTAAGAAACCTAACTACTATAAATCAAGCCGTGCTTTCCTTATACATAATGCAGATCCACAGTCTTTGCAGCAAGGGGTGAATTTGGTCTAACGCATTTCAGATGTGCATTCTTTATTCGCCTGCTGCGCTGCGCCAAATCACACACCCCTCCCTGCGCGCACATGCGATCACAGCAGCCGGGTTAACTCTGAACTTGAAGGGGAGCGTGGGGAAATACAGTAAATTATGCACCAGAGCTCCTGCCGCGGAGTTTTATTCCTCCTCTCAGCCCTCGAAAGGGTGCATCGTTAAATATAAAAGAAGGGAATGGCGGACTGTGCTTGTGCGACTGACCTACCCGCATCAGCCAGACCGGCAGTCTGGGCTCAGTCTCTGCGCTCCCGAGCTGTTATTTGCGGGAAAACGGAAGATGAACCGCGGTTGTCGCAATTAGTCCACTCACCCTCTTTGTAATCTGCCTCCGAGCGTTGATTTGTTTCACCGACGTGGCTCGAGCGCCCCCCCTCAGCCGCTCCTATGACCGAATGTCTAGTCACGGCAGGGAGGCAGTGCGCATGCGTGCGCTCCACACGGTACGAGCGTAAGGGACGAAAAAGATGAGGAAAAACGCACAATATGTCAAACTTCCTCATAAAATGTAGCGGACAAAGTTGAATTGATTATTAATTTCTTAATTGTTTTTCATCAAAACATTTTCCAAATCAAACCTGACCAAACATCAAAGAAATGTAATATTTCCCAGGTTAGCATTGCCATTTGTAATAAATTGATTTAATTTGAAACACCTGCGTCACATGGGTTCTTATGTGTAAGTAAAATGATCAATGAAATCGTCAAAACCAAGACAATGACTAGCAATAAAATGTGAATTTGAGAAAATCAGAAGCTGTTTAATTCAGTCTTTTTGAAACGTTTTTCACGGTGAAATCTGCAAACCATGACAGATATTTTCTAATAAGAGACTCCGGATTTACCATGTGTTCATCTTTTGTAATTCTAAAAAATAAGTGCCAGGAATCTGTAATAAAGATAAACAACAGGTGGAATCCATGTGCCCTCATGCCAATACTCATCAATATCAGCTTTTTCTTTTTAGTTAGTTTTAAAAACATTTTTTCCACAAATTCATTCCTAGTTTATTTGGAGGATCTATTTTCTGATCTGGATACAGGCATTTTTAATTAACACTGTCTTTCTAATTGGTACATAACCTCCTTTCTTAACTTTGACTCAACACCCAACATTTGGAAAAGGCCAAAGGGTATAAGAAGGCAAACGAGATGTCAAAGATTCCTATTTTACTACTAAAGAATTTAACACTTTAGGTAAGTGGACAATATTCTTTTTTGTTTTTTACATCTGGATTCATTTAAGTTATTGCTTTTGATAAAAAAAAGAAGACATGTTTGGCTTTTTTTTCTTTTTTTTGCTAGATTTTTTTAAAGCCTAGACATCAAACGAACGATGGGGTACTGGTAGAAAAACACAGAAGACCCTATAATCCTTACTATTAGAGTTTGGAAATGGCCGATACACTTAGGACAACCCAGATGTAAAAAAGAGTTGCACACCACCACCTGATAATTGCAATATTTAAAGAAAAGAAGGCTTGAAGGCATCAAAAACAATTTATATGCCTGTAGGACGTCAAACCTCACCAGACTGAAAGAAAGACAAAAAAATACATGCCTCTAAAGTAAAATGGAATTCCAGTGTTTCAGTTTAATCGGGACAAGCCAAAGAAGTGCATCTTGCAGTAGTAGCCTTCATGTGAACAAAAAAAAAGAACAAACAGGAATCGATAGATTGAGCACAAACTCCATTCGGCTCGGTCGGATTGCCTTTTCAACTCTTTGCCCTAGAAGATGAAACCCAGACCATTCACAGAGACCTCTGGAAACCTCCAGAGACAGTTTAGTGAAGGTGCACATCCAGCTCTAGCTGAGGGAATGGCAAGCGGTTGCAGGGAAAATGTAACAGCAGATTTCTGGGCAGTCTTCATACTCTCGAATGAAATAAAAAATAAATAATTTGAAGGAGTGTTTTCTCGAATTGCCTGTGGTCACACGTGCATATGTCGTTCGGAAATGGTGCTCCAAGGCGCTCTCGGAAGAATCAGAAACTTCAGTGGGATAAAAATGCCTTCTAAACCAGTATGTACAAACAAATAAATAAACTGAGGCTGAACCCACTCGCAAACACACATTCATTAATCTGATAAATAACCTTCAAGAATAAAAATGGTAAAGATATACAGCAGATGACTTATTTTACAAGATAAACATGAAACAGACTTTTTTTTTTCTCTCTCTCTCTCTCTCTCTTTTTTTTTTTTTTTTTTTAAGGAGGCAGATATAATGGATCGATAACTCTTCGACTACTTGAAAAACTTCGGGCCATGATCCTTTCTGACCCAGTAAAAGAAGCCAGGACCCACTCCTCATTTCTGCCCTCGCACAGGGGAGACGGCTGTGGCATCCCTTTAAAAAGGAAACACGGTGTTTATGTCGACCGCCTAGATGTGTCAGGCGGTCTCAGACGCTCACAGGAACACAAAGTCATCGCTGCTTCTCCTGGTGTTACTCCTGCTCAGTTTGCCTGGCGGCAGAATGTGAGATGCAGGTGCGCTGTGGTTGCTGCTGTGACCCTCCAGTCCATAGTCCTGACTCTGTCCATCTACGAAGGTAAAGATGGGATACTTTTCCTTGGAGGATGAGAGAGCCTAGAATCACAACAAAGCATAATTAAAAAAAAAAAAAAAGGGAGTCTGAAGGATAGCTCAGTTCATTAGCAGTAAGCCAACCGAACGTGAGGCTCTACACATTAGATTTTTCAATCTTGATAGGATTATCTTATTTTAATCCAATGCTTGCATCATATAGAAGGACAGAATGTGGTGGAAAACAGCTGTGACACCACCTGGTGGCTGCTAATAAAGAGGTTGAAGAATTCTAATAGTGCATGACATTACAACAGGGCACAAAAAGAGGACAATTCTAACCGTCTGCATGTCACTGGTACAGGTGATGCCCAAGTAATATAATGTTTATCACTTTTTGCACAAAAATTCTTTAATTTTTGTATATCTTTTTGTTTCTTTTTTATTCAAGCACATACACCTAAACTTAGTCCACTAGAAGTTTGATGCTAAACTGATAACGCAGGAGTTTCTCATCTCTTTCATTATGATTCCCCCATAAAGTTCAGTTTAAACAGATGATAACGGAGAACATGTGTGAAATACGCATTAACAAAGCTACAATAATCAAAAACAAAAGCTGCTTTCAACAAATTTACTTACTTTAACAAGATTGTAACCACTTATATTTAAGAATGATTTTTTACCTTAAAAATGCCCGAGTAACATACAGACATGAAAGCAGTCAGTGGGCCATAATATTCAGAATTTGTTCCAAATAAGAAAAAAAAAACATCTTGATTTGAGATTAACCTCCATGTTTAACAAATAAGCTGTAAGAACTGGTGAAAAATATCTGTTCATTGAAAAAAAACTAAAAACATAACACAAACCATAGCGTAACAAAGTAAAAATAATTAATGAATTTTAATGTCATCATGATCATTATTACATTTATTGAATTAATATGAAAATGTAAAGACTGTCCGTCTAAAGCTTTTTCATATTGTTTTAAAATAAGGATGGTCGATCTCGATAAGTGGAAATTCCCCCCTGCTTCCTTTTCCCTTTTGTACCCAGAAACTAGAATTTTTCGGCTAAAAATGAGCTAGATCAAACACCAGACAGGGAACAGAAACTCACCGAGCTGACGGCAGAACACAGAGACTCAAAGTCTTTCTTGTTCTTCGCGTAGAAGCCGATGGTACAGCTGGGATCCATCCGGCTAAAGGGCATCTTTTTAGGAGCACTACAGTGGAATGACTTCACAGCAACATGAACAGAGGTGGGTCATGGAATAAAAGACAAAGAAAATTATTCCCAAGTTACTCAGTTGATGTGTGACCTTTAAATATTGACTGCTTAAAGAAAAGAAAAAAAAAAATCACATGCTTTAGGTCCAGTCTAATGTCAGAAAAAACCCCTCTTTAGACACACAATAGCAAACGGTTTAAGGAGACGTGTGGACAGGAAAACAAACCTCTAGTGAGGAGTTAGCTTCAGTAACATCAACAACTGCCTGGCAGTAGTGAGGGTCCAGAAACAGTAACTGCTCATCTGCCAATAAAAGAAGGAGATAAATGTTAAGCATCGCAAACTGCATCTCTAAAGTACAGAATCTTTTGTGATTTCTTCCCCAGAACAGATATTTTTACCTCTTCCAATTCTTTAAAAAAGGACAGGAAAAGGATGGTTCTCACCTTGAAAGCCAATGAAGTAGAGTGAATGCTTTGGTTTTCCTCCAATTATCCCAATGCAACATTCCAGCTTCAGGATATTCTGTAAATGAGGTGGTAGACACAAAGTTAAAACCATTAGCGAGCTGGATACAGGACAGGAAGCAGCATACACCCCTCAGGTTAAGAGTTCGGATGTCATCCTTGACACCACTCAATCATTCAAATCTCACATCAATAACACCACTTGTTCACAGTCTCGTCACCTCCCGTCTAGATTACTGCAGCTCCCTTCTCTTCGGTCTCCCTCACAAGTCTCTCCGTAAGCTTCAACTGGTCCAAAACTCTACGGCACGTGTCATCACCAAAACCCCTTCTTCCAAGCATACCACCCCCATCCTACAGCAACTGCACTGGCTCCAAGTCACCCTAACAATTCCATTCAAAATCCCTCTATCCACCTTCAAAGCTTGCCTCTCTGTACCTGTCTGACCTCCTCCACATAGTCACCCCAGCACGCTCCCTCAGATCCTCCTACTCTCTCCACCTCACTGTGCCCCCTGCTCACCTCAGCACCATGGGGGGGCAGAGCCTCCAGTCGCTCTGCTCCCCGACTCTGGAACTCTTTGCCATCTGACATCCGAAATACTGACTCTGTCCCTCTTTTCAAAACTAAACTCAAAACCGACCTGTTTAAAATTTCTTACCCACCTTACCACCCCTAACTCTAACATTCCCCTCATTCTGCGCAGTTTTATTCATTCCATTTTTATTTAATTAATTTCTGATGTTTTTATTTATGAAGTGCTTATGACTTTGTATGTTTTCTTATGTTTCAATGTTGTTTTAATTACGATCGTCTTTGTAAAGTGTCCTTGAGTGTAAAAATAAAATCTATTATATTATTATCATACACACACCTTGACACATTCGGTGTAGGACGGGTTGAGGGCCTCTCCTCCCAGCCGTACAGGCACAAGTATGATGACAGACTTCCAGGTTTGGTGTGAAGGATCAGGGGGACTCTGGCTTAGTGAGGGATCACAAAGATGTGCCACGTCCTCTTTGTACACTAGGACGCAAAAAGACATCACGGGAAACAAGAGTGGGTGAGGCGGCTCAAGGGTGTCGCCATACATTCATAAAATTCAACAAACAGCTTGTTTGTATCTTACCTGTGCAGTCCTGAGCCACATATATGGCAAGGTTTTGCACCACGGAGGTTTTAGCCACTGCTTTTCTGGAAAGGAAAAAAGAAAAACAGTAAAAATACATGCCTAAATATTGTAAAATGATACTTAAGTAAATGTGGAGCCCCTTACCGTAAAATGTGTGCAACTATTGAGGGGCCGTACCAGTCCCCAGCCTTCTTCCCCGAACCTTTGCCAATTTCCACTAACTGGTGAACGCCAAAAGGCGCAGGAGGCTGATCCCCGAACCAGTTGACGAGCTTGCGGTGGTTGGGTTCCGCCTGGCGGTCTCTTGCAGACTCGGGCCTTTTCTTCAGGCTACTTTTGGGCGCCTGGCTGCTTGACAAGGCCCTCTCTGGGGTGTTTGTTCCTCGTTGGGAGCCAAAGGAAGGGATGGGGACCCCTCCGGCCCGTACGGGGGAGCGCGGTCGGAACACCTCGAAGTCCACATCGGTTAGCTGCTGAGCGTCAGGCCAAGCCCAATCTACCAAAAAGCAAGTCGAAAGTTCAAACTTAATGCTGTTTTAGATGTTTTAGATTTGGGGAAAATACATTTTATTGTACTGATATTCATCAAGGCTCAAGTGAAATACGTGTAAGTATCTTTCAATTTAATTTTAATTTAATTGAATTCCCATATGATTATGATTATTAATTATTACTATTATCATTGATATCATTATTATTATTATTATCATGAATTCATGTAAGTGGGATAACTTGTGTAACTGTGTTTGTTACCAGAAACTTGAATATCTCTAAGGCAGATTAATAAAGTTTTCATCTATCTATCTATTAATGCATGATGTCAAACAATGAGGTGGAGCTAAAATACAAGCTTCTGTGAAATGAGATCAAAGCAACAACGGTCTGAGGCTCTGTGTACGTCACTTCTGCACAGAAGAAGCACAACGTGATAATCCAATATATCGTATACACCGCCTGAGCAACTTGATTTCTGATAGCAGAGGAGAGATGGCTGATTCAGTGTGCGATAGGGCATCTTTAACTACCAAATGATGACAGGGCACTTCAACAAAAGAAAGGGGGACACCAGGCTGAGCTCAGAGGCGATTGTGGTGTTGTTGTTGTTGAATCTCTGGCTCTGTCTTACCTGCTGCACTATTTTCTTAAAAGATGATCATACAGGTCTTTTTTTCTTTTTTTTCAGCAAAAGAAATTTGAGTAAGGGAGTGAGGCTAAAGTTATTTACCCCAACAGCATTTAATAAACAATGTTTAGCTTCCTAAAAAGTCCCCATAACACATTAGGGTGCACTACAGGGCAGGACTTTATACTAAACATATGTAATACTACTGATGGGTGACTTAAGTCCTGGAGGAAATGTATGTCTGATAATGGTAACTGAACAAAAAAACAAAACAAAAAGAGGTCCTGTACAGTTATCAGGTCAGTTGAAGGGGAACAGTTTATCTTATGGCGGCATTTAGTGTATATTTTATAAATGCAATAGGAAAGAAGCTGTGTACAAGGAAATACAAAACAAAAAAATAAAGATAATCAGGATACAGGCATCATTAATAAAAAAAGACAAAAGGAGAAACTAAACAACGTAAACCAACCTAGAGAGATTAAAAGATTAAAATTTATCATTTTACTTAAATGGTATATATATATATATTGTTATCCCAGCTAATACATGCATGCTGGCATCACTCTTGTGTCATCACAAATTCATTTATACGATGAGATCAGCCTTCTAGAAGATGCTGATTGCCTTTTGCATAACAGACACATAACATTTTCACAAACTTAACCTTCTACGGTGAAGAACATGATTGGGAAACACAAACCTCTGGGCATCAAATGGAGGACAAGCCCCTGTGCCAGCAGCATCTGTCCACTGCGCAGCATGCAGCCCCAGCCACAGTCTGTGGTCCAGGTGGAGCCTTCCAGCTGAGGAAACTCCTTCCGGTAGGTCAGCCAGATCCTGGAGACAAAAGCCAGACGGAACCGCTCCACCTCATCTGTGGGGGCGGGGACGAACGGAACAAGGAGGTTAGACAGAAAGGTTGTTGAATGTTTCTAATGTTCATCTCAAATTAACTGCTTTTTGCTTTTATGCAAATCAGATAATCTTACATAAAAGGAAAGATAGGAAATATGTTTCCCCATATGAGGTTAATGAAAACACACTTCAATGCAATATATCTTGGGTTTTTTATGGTTTTTGTTTCCCCATTACCTCTACAGCTCTTACTAAGATAGGTTGAGATGTTTAAGATGGTGCTTTTACCTTCACTGTTGAGCTGATAGGAGTGGCCCAGGACAGTGACTGGTGATATCTTGTTGAAAGATGTTTTAGACTTAACAGCCCAACCTACAGAGAGAGAAGGAAGGAACAAAATAGTGATCGGAAAAGGTTTCCCAAAGCGATAACCTTTGCGACCACCCCATCGTTAAAAAAAAAGGGGAAACATACCATATTTGACATTGTTCCATGCTGACATCAGTTTGGCTTTGAGTTTGTCTATCTCGTCGGGCTCCCCGGCTGCGTCTCTGTTGGTGTCCAGGTTCGGAGGTAGTCTCGGTCCAAAGCTGCCCTGTCGTTCCAGGGGCTGCTGCCTCCAGCTCTCCGCCTGCTCATCCTGCATCCCCCCCCCGGCAAACTGCGCCGCACTCTGGGACACTGGGTTCATGCTTCCCGAGTCCTCAAAGGTGGACTCTGGTGCTCCTCATTGCAACACAGAACTGATGTGAGAAAGGAAATCATTAACTCTCAGCTACGTCAAAACACGTCTTAAACTCTGAAACAATTTAACTTATTCAGGCCCTTTCCTGAATTTTTCTAAAGCTAAATACTTTTCTTAATTCTCCAATGTTTGTCAACCGTGTTTAAAATGATTGAAAAAAGGTGTCATTATTTGCTTACTCTTCATCTAAATCAAGTGTCCACTAAGATTTTAACTCTGAGTTTAAATTATTTATGGCTAAACTCAGAGTTGTTTCAAACCATGAACGTGCTGTCCAGAAGGGCTCACCGCTTTAATTCCGCTTTAAGGTCTACTAGAGTGGAGTTTCTTTCTGTATTTTGAGAAATTTCCATTAAGATGGTGATTAATCAAGTTAAAAAGGTTTTTTAAAAGAAAGACATTTACTAAGAAGCTAGGTGTTTGCTTGAGAAGATGATACAGAATTTGTAAAGTTGATCAAATATGAAACTCACAGATCCCACCATGAATACACTGTCAACTATGCCTAGTTTAAGCCAACCACATTTTTCTGATAAAGACATCAGTAATATTTTCAGAAAAATCAGTATGTAATAGCTTGTTTTTATGTGAGCGTGATTTTGGTAATAAATCAAGAGTAATAAAGCAGAATTCCCTGATGTTGCTCACTCACGTTATGACAACCCGTATGCTTAAAAGTTCTGATAGATAATTGACATATTTTCTTTAAAAATAAGTTAAATAACAAAAAGAGTGTTAAAGCTACATTGCTGGTGTAAACCTAAATAAACATTAACTTATGATTTCACAACAGCCGAAACACTCAGGAATTTTTCCACCGTGCCCCGAAAGTGATGAGTAGGAGTTTCAACAAGGAAGAGACAGAATTAGAGTGCAGTTATACCAATGAGAACCTTTAACTGAAAGGAAAAGAAGAAGAAAAAACAATCCCATCATGTGATTGCCATTTGGCAACTGGGCTTTATCAGCGAAAGTCATCTGATTCTAATAATGCATATCCCAGTGAATAAAAGGATTGAACACGTTGTATATAGTCTTAGTCAAGACACAGGAAATGTGCGGTTTCTTTGGATCTGTCATCTGTAATACTGACAGGCAGGTTCACAGCAATTTCAGTGGAGTTATGCGGTCTCACGACACAAAGCATCATCCGTGGAGCTATTTCAAACACTTGCAGTTAAGGGTTTACAACCAATAACTACTTGCCTTTTTTAGGACTTGGTTAAGCTGGCCGGTACTTTGTCGCAAGTTCACACATTTCACCGGTTTCCTCGCGATTCCCAAAAGGCTGAATAAGCTAACTTTAGCGTTAGCCCCGGCGATTCCTCTATGCCGTCCAAGTCGGACAGAACAACAAATAAATGTTGCAATATTCCGAACAAAAAAACAAAACAAAGCTATATCAGTGTGACGGGAGTCCTGCCATTTGGAAGACACGATAATTAGTCTACCGTGCTGTGAAAATACCCCACTACTATGCGGGTTTGTCTCACCGGTCATCCACCGCTACAGCATCTGCCCGTCACAGCATTTACTTCCTGTTGTCCTTTCCTGATATGATATGATTGGCTATCGCAGCCAAACTGAGAAAGCTGATTGGATAGTCCGACCAACATTGCAAAGTGAGCTTTTGGCTAATAGTAATTGTTATGTAATTCGTCGACTGAAGCCATACAAAACGTATGTTTATTCAGCATTCTCAGGAGACCATTTTCTCATGTGCATTTTTACCGGACTAAATGTTACAGCCATCGTGTATCTGGTTTTGTGTTCTCTTCTCAACTTCCTGTTTTTATTTTGTGCACTCATTTCCTGCTTCGTTTCAGACAACTTCACGTCGCAAGATCTACTCTGTTACAGTAATAAACCTCTTCCACAACTTGATGTTATCCACCTGTGTCTCGTAACAACCCTTTCTTCATCTATTCATTTATACGTCACTCATTCAGCGTAATTTTGCCAGTACGTTTTCGTCTGTCAAGTGGTCGAGCAGTATTTCAATTTTATCTTTCGGTGTTTCTTGTGTTTTGGATTTCTCTTTGCCTTCTTCTTTTAGATAATTTTGCCAGGATTGTATTAAAGGTGCTTGGATTTTATGTCTGAGTTTGAGAGTCTTGAATTTGGGTCATTGTGTGTGTGTGTGTGTGTTAAATCAATCATTGTTGGACAAGACATGGTTTACAGATAACACTTATTTTATTTAGTTTTGGCTATATCAAGAGATGAAAATGGTCAAAGTTGTCTTTGACGTAGCCATTAAAGCACTTTTCAAACAGACCACATGACTAGTTTCAGAAAGAGGCTGCTGTTAATAGGCACACGTCGTACTTTCCAACTATCCAGCTTCTGGTTATTTGAGATGGTTTCAGTTCTCATAAACTGTTATCAGGACATTCACATATCTCGTGATTTTTTAGGTCATATGTGTCTCTAATACAGTCACCAATCTTTTGTACAATTTAGGCTAGTGTCACCTATTATTTATGTACTTGCAATGTTAAGATGTTAGATATGAATGCGAGTTAAATTGTTGCACAACACGGACAGGTCACCTGTTTATCACAATCAACAGCAATGAGCAGTGACTCTTGTCATGGAAAAAAAGAAGAAAAAAATTCCCTGTAAGATACTAAATGTTAAGACCACAAAGAACGTCAGGCGACAATTCATGGAGCAAATTCAAGAAACTTTAATCCACATACTGCACTTCAGGTGTTTGCATTTAAGTCACATCTATCACCAAAAAAATACCCCAGTGGTACAACTAAATACACATTGAGTGAACAGAGAAGTGTGGAATGCTTTTATACTTGGACTCTTGTTTGTTTGCAAAATCCATATTTGATAGTCATTGATGACTTCGTGGCAGTAGCATCAAAGTAAGATATTTTTCTGTCAAATAAAGTTCATACACGCACGCACACAGACACACACACATACACACATACATGAATATGTGTATATATACTCTCTCTGTCAACTAAAAACAGAAACATAATAAAAGGCCTGAATGTGGACACAGTAATCTGTAAGATATGCTGCTCTTTCACTATCAGGTGGATAGAGCTGATCTCCATCATAGCATCAAGATACAATGATTCCTTCAGTCAGTATTGAAGACAGCATATTAAAAAAAATGGTTTTCTTATTTCTAATGATATAATTAACAAATCACATGAAGAAAGCAATATAAATAAATTGCTTCAAGAGTTAATTTGATAATTACTGCAATTCTTTAGTATCAGAAACATAAATGCATATTTAGTAAGCCTGTTGCTAGTAACAGACATTCTGGAGTAAATCAGTGGTCTCAGTAAAGTAAAATAAAGTTTAAAAAAAAAGATTTAGGACAGTTCAACATGTTGAAAACTTGTCATTGCGAAACCACTAGAGGGTAGTAGAGTACAATGTTGAATAAAAAAAAGACTGATGTATTACATTGGACATGCTTTCACATTTATGGCAGATTGCAGAAAACATCAAACAGGTTTCTTTGTTGCATATAGCAGCAATGTGACACTTATTGTTTTGCTCTTTTCACTTAAACAACACGATTCTGTTGTCTTTTGCAACAAGGCAACAAGCAACTGCCAAAAAGTGCCCCAAGCCTGAAATGACAGGACCTGATCTTCAAGAACAAAACACTAAGACGGAGGTATGTCCTGCACAGACTGAACTACTTTCGGACACTTTTTGGACTTAGAAGAACACTTCAGTCTTCTTCTTTAATGTCAAATTCCTCTTCTGATGGATCCTGTTTTGCATCAGTGAAACCTGGACAAATCTAAAATGAATCTTATCATTTGCAGGAAGTGAAACGTTACAATGCATGTAAGTATCCAGAAATTAAAGAACAGTATGTAACAAATACTGATATCTACGGTTGATGTTGGAGATGTAACAAATTGCACCTGCATCAGTTGGCTAGATTACTCATGGATAAGAAAAACAAGCTTATAATAACATCGAGACCTAATTTCTCATCTGCAACTCCCAACTGGGAAAGGTGTTATCTGAGTATTCTTTCTTTGCCTAGCTTGAAAATTCATCCACTATGTAATTTTGCTTCTTTAAAGAGACCAATTCTCACCTCATGCTTTGCTTTTGCATTATGAAGTAAGTAATCTGATGAAACAATTATAAAAAAAAGATGGGTGGATGGATAATCAATGTTTCGTCTGATATATGTTAGTGTTACACACAGTGACTTTATATCATTAAGCTTTCTAAACATGTCCACATTCACACAGCTCTAAATAATTTGCATAAGATTATGTACATTTATGGTTACAAACTATAAGGAAGTGATGATAACCAATGAGAGGAAGATACGCTGTAGATAGTTTTTCAGGACTATTAATGAAGTTACTGATTGAATTGTCTTTATCATATTATTACAATGAGCATTACTGTACATGTATCACTCTGTACTACCTACTGTAGCTAACCTAACAGTCATTCTGATTATACCACTGATGATTCTTTTTCTTTATACATACAGGTCCATCTTGGCTACAGAAACCTTGTACAAATAAATAATGGTATGCTACATCCACAACTGCCAGCTGTCTCTGTTTGGGCTAAAAACAACACCCCAGATTACTGTATCTGTGCTTACAACATGATGTAATGGCTTCACACACCATACTCATGCTGGGCCATCTTCTTTGTGCCAGTTCGGTGTGTTTATCAAAAGGCTCCCTTCCTGTTTATATCATGACCTGTGACTAAGAGTAACGGTCCACCAAAAAGACACACACATGCTCACAATCGCCTTAACATATTTGTGTCCCGACTAATGGACTACAACAGGGGGTAAGGATTTAAACGCACGGCAATCAGCTGCTGACTCGGCTGCCTCCCGTGTTTATGAACGTGCGTACCCGTGACGGAGGAAGGGGGCTGAGGCGGCCATCCTGCTAGGTGGAGATAAGTGCTCAGCCTGAGCTCAGCTGTCTCCGCAGCCCGGTGCAGCCTTCAAGAACCATCAGGAAACAGACTCAAAGTGGTGGAAACACACACTTTACACACAATCCCCCATGATGAGCTGAGCTAGACAGGTCTGAATGTGACATCACCTGACGGACTGCCTGCTATGGCGACGGCTGACTGTATAATCCGAAGCAGTAAACTGCTGGATAATGAGTAAAAAAAAGCTTAATCGTCTTTCTCCTGTTGCACTGCGGCCAAAGTGTTGGTTTGTGTAAAGTGTTTTTGCTTGATGACAACTGGACTCTTTTACTCTCCAGCGGTGGAAAAAACTAACAAAACAACTAAAAAGAAAAAAAAAAGGCCTGGTCAAAAATAGTGGCTAGATTTGGTATTCACAGTATTCAGCATGTTTTGATCAGTAAAGCACTTTTTCATCCTCTTGTACCTATTACAAATGTAAAGTACATACTGTACGACATGCATTCACATTGACCCACACATAAACATCTGATAGTGTTTCACATTACATCATAAAGAGTCCTCTTAATAAATAATTCAAAATAGAAAAATCAACAGTTAATGCACCTTTATAGTTTTTTTTTTATCTTTGTTTTTAGTTTGAATCAGTTAGGGATTGGAATTGATAAATAACACCTCATAGACTCTGAAACTGGAATGTACATCGTTTTTAAGTGCTTGTCCTCTGTTTTGTAGTTTATCCTCCCAAAAAGTTTTCCCCTCGTTTTCTACTAAAGTCAGATTTAAGGACCCCTTGGGGTCACATTTTCGGCAGGCTGCCGACTGCTGCAGCTTTCTCGAGTGGCGAGCCGGCTGGACTTTGGGTGACCACGGCGGCACCGGCAATCGCTCGAGCCCCCGCAGGAGATTCAGACTTTCCCACAGCGCCCCCCTGCTTCTCCTCCAGGACCTTAGTCTGCTGCTCTTTGCTCCTGGCGCCTTCCTGAGAGCCGAGCTTGATCGGGCCGAGCACGTTTTTGGCCACGGTGGTAAGCTGGCTGACGAAGCTCGTCTTGTCGCCCGGGGAGACGGGCCGCGACTTACAGAGGGAGGGTCCGCAGAGGGAGGGGGTCACGGCTGTCGGGGAGGGGGAGGGAGAGGGGGAATGTTCCTCCACCACCTCCAGGCGACATTTGTCCTCCCAGTCGAGTGTCCCCCGGTAGCAGTTGACGGGGCCCAGTCCCTGCCTCACTTTGCCTAGCGAGAGCGGCTGCCCGTGGGACGGAACCACGGGAGCCAGGATCCGAGCTGGAAGTTTGGGGCTTTTGGAGCCGAGCTCTGGAGTTCTCGAATCATTGCTTTCGGCCTTTTTCAGGCTGTCCCCCATTCCCGACGATTTAATCGTTTTGTTCATGTTCAAAGTAGCTCCGGTCACTGCTGCAGAAGGACTCTTACCGAAGGCAGCGGTCGGTAAACCAGACCTACTTTTGTTGTCTCCATCCTGCTTTGGCTCAGGGATGCCTCCCGGCTTCTGCTCTTGGGGATCTTTCCTGTTAGCTAACACGCTTTTGGTTTGGTTGGCTTGTAGCTGCTTTGTCTGCGAGTCTGTCTGATTCTGTGTCTTCTCTGGCTCCTTCTGTCCAGAGCTTTTGATAGGCGTGCTAGGGGTTAGAGATCTAGTGGTTTGTGTACCCAGTTTGGAGCTTTGCGAGTTCAAGTTAACCTCAGTTGAATGAAGCTTTCTTGCTAAGAATGACTGCGATCCTGTTCCTCTACTCATTCCAACCTCCCTCTCTTTCTCAGGGTCCCTCCCCCTCTCCCTTTCTTCCCTCTCTCTTCCTGCCAGCAGGGTTTCCCTGCTGAGTGGAGACTCCTGTCTCCCGAGTCTCCTCACAGGCTTCAGGACACCAGTCTCTGGTGAGGTCGAGGGTAAGGGCAAGGGGGGAGGATTGGGAGGCAAATTTTCTCCGTCTGTTTCCAGCAGGCTCTGTAGCCCGAGCTCACAGAGGAAGGCGTCCTTGCGGTACTCGGAGTGCTGCACCTCCAGGCTGTGCTTCCTCAGCTGACCCCCGAGTCCTCCCGTAGAACTGGACTGGGTCAGAGGGGAGCCCAGCTTCTCCGCCGACTGCACTCGTTTGAGGAGAGGCGAACGGGGAGGCTCGGCGCTCTTCGGCCTCGGGCGGACGACCGGGGGGGACGAGTGGAGCTTGACAGGGAAGGACTGGGTGGTGTTGGAGCTCCCCACCGTGTGGCCGGGTAAGGGCGGAGGGGAAGATTGGGTCGGGGATGGCGTGTGGGCCAGCGGGGACAGCGGGATGTTACCGGCAGACTTGCAACGGGCCGATCGATACTGACGGTGGAGTTTCGGCGACAGGCCGTGCAGGGAGCTGGGCCTCATGTGCTGAGAGGGGGAAGGGGAGTTTGGAGTGCTGGAAGCTGGAGAGCTGCTCTGGGAAGAAGCACCTAGGAAGCAGGAAGCGAAAACGAAAGGCAATCAGTGAGGGAAATAAATATACGTCTTAAGATAAGTTAGAGAAATCGTAGTTTGCGTTTGACTATTTAGACTAGATTTTCTTCTTTCCAGCACCATACCCAGGTAGGAGGGCTCAGGGTTGTTGCGATAGCCCTGTGTTGGGGAGCGGGCAGACAGGCTGTGAGTTGGGGAGCCAGGAAGACTCTCACTAGAGGACAGAGAGCGATTCAAAGAGGAAAGACTGCGACTGGTGTGGAGGAGGTTGGACTGTTTTGTGATCTTACGGAACAGGGAGCTGCGTTTCTTACTGCAGGCAAACAGACATTGAAAAAATAAAGAAACAGCTATGACATATGCTGGACAAACATCAATCTACTACAATCATCGGTAACACATCAGCTCCTACCTGTCCTGGCCCTCCTTGACCATTGTGCGCTTATTTCTACGGGCCATCTTACACTTGTAGCTGGCCTTACGGGCGGGACCCACTTTAATGGAGGTGTTCTCGAAAGGGGTGGTTGTCACAGTCACTTTGTTGCCACTCTGCACAGATCAGTTAAAAGAACAATGAATGCTGGCTTGATGCGAACAACGATCCACAGACAATATCTTTACTCAAAGCCTTCGTTTAAGTTAAAAAAGAAACTTGGCTAAGTTATCTACGACACCCATGAGACGTATCTGAGACTGATTCGGCTGCAGACCTTGAGGATGAGCTCGACCACTTCAGTGTGGACCAGACCATGGACGGCCTCTCCATTGACGTGTGTGATGAGGTCACCAGCGCAAAGGCCAGCTTCCTGGGCAGGGCCGCCCTCCTCCACATGCTGTAGCACACACAAAACATTGATATGAGAAGAAAAGCAATTTGAAGTACAATTAGCTTTCAGTGTTGGCAAGTTTGGTTCATATAGACTTTTTTTAAAGACGATAAAAGCCAGAGGATGATCTATTTACAGTTCTGATTTGCACATTTCTTAAAAATGTTTAAGGCAACGATAAATTTGTTCATTTTTCATCAATTCAATAATTTCCTACACAACTTTTTACGAAATACATTTCCTATAAAATACGTATTTGCTATCACTTGAAAAAGAAAGTAATTGAACAATTAATGAAGTTATTGATTAATCTAGTAAAAATATTTTTTGTACTGCTGCAAGAAAAATAACAAGAATAATAAAATCTATGATGAATGAGCTGATAAAAAATGGGAAAAATGGGATAACACTTTTAATCTTTAAAGTGTTATTTAAAACATTTTGTGTTTATTTATTTTCCATATCTTTGACAGTTACTTTGTTGCTTATATATATATATATATATATATATATATATATATATATATAGCAACAAAAGCAACAAAAGCTTTTTCCACCTTTGATTTGGAAGATGTTTTCCAGGTAAAACCATTTAAGCCATTTCATAGCTGTACTCTGGACTCTAGCTAAGTCGCATGAGGACTTTTAGAGACTTTCCAAATCAGATCCTGTATGTTCCATAAACCTCTTGTGAATTGAATAAAACTGACTATTTACAGTACAAAATTAGTGCAGAAAAACAAAAGTGCAATAACAGCAAAAACGACAATAAAAAAAACAACAAGTAAAAAACAGAGTAGGTGCAAATGCCAGCATGTCACTAAATACTTCTTGTTTTTGACGGGGACAGTGATGGTTGCAGAGCAGTTTGAAATCAATAAAGAAAAAAAGACAAATACAGTTTCTTACCCAGACAATGTGATGGACACTGTAGATATCACTGTCTCCAATGTAGACCCTGATGGCCCGTAGAGTAAAGCCATATTTCTTTCCGGACCGATGGATTGTGATTGGGGAGCGCAGCACACTGACAGCAGGGAAGAAGTCTCTGCTGGGTGAGGAGTCACGCGATGAGGGGTTAGAGGAGAAAGAGTGGGGCGACATGGGGCTGGCCAGTGGTGAGAATCCGCCATGTTGCTCCACTAGTGGGATTGAGCAGAGGGGGATGGATATGAGATGATGCAAAAAAAAAAAAAAACTGCAATATATCAATATTTTCAAAAGGATTGAATCCTTTATTGTCTTTAAACCTCTCACCTGATGGTATGATAACAGACAGAGCCGTGGCTGATGCCGATTTGATGACTTTGTTGCCTTGTCTGGAGTTCCGCTTCTCTCCGTCACCTGACAAATGATGGTGACGCGCCCGACGGAGGACCAGGTCATTTGTGGCTCGGGGCCCCAGAGGGTCATACAAAGGAGTCATCACATCCCGACCGGTTGCTGATAGACCTGGGGATAACGTGCCGACGCCTGAAGTTACACCGGGAGTTTCCCCTGGTTTAGGAGATTTGTCTGCGAGGAGTCAGAATGACGGAAATGAATAGAATGAAAGAGAGAAAAATATCTAAGACTTCCAATGAGAGAAATGCGCAGACAGCAGCAGTGATCTAATCAAAAGTTTCAGACTTTTTTGCTTTCTGTTTCTGCCAACGCACCTGCTCCGTTGACCTCCTTTAAGCTGGCCCTCTGCTCCAGCAGACTCGGTGACGGGATCGTGGTCCCATCCAGCGAGGTTCCTCGGACCTTCATCGGGTTCTGGCGGGTCAGAAAATCCGGCTCGCCTTCGAGAGCCGATGCAAATCGATGCGTGTCCATTAAAGCCGAAAAGCGGCGTCTGGCGCCAAGAGGAGGGCTCGCGTCCCCTTCTGAGTAGAGAGATTCTGAACAAGACAGGCGCTTCCTGCAAGACAAAGAAGAAAGTCTAATGTTTACCGATGCACCTATGCTGCTCACATGGGTGACTAAAAGAACAGGAAATAAAGCAGCAAATGCAAATAAACAAAAGATATAAGGAGATGTTTTGCATAATAATTGATATAGAAATTGATAATGAACTCAGGATAGAATTGAATCAAAGTGGACCAAATACAGGTCTTCTCTGTTTGGTATGGAAGAATAGGAAATGTAATATAAATAGTGAACCTCTTCAACCTTACTTTAATTTTCAATAGAGGCAGAATGTCTGAATGAAAGATCTTATTTAACATGTCAATGGAGAGATTTGAATGCCAACCAACATCCTCTAAATACTGAGGTGAAGAAGGAGCAACGCTGTGCTTTGCATGAAAAGCAGACTACGTTTTGACTAAACACGCAGTTTTCATTAGCAACTAAAATCTACAACCTATGACGCAAACTACTGACTGTGTTTCAATATCAGCTAAAGAGCACTGTCTGTTGATAACTGTGACTAAACAGCCTCAGTACTGCTAAAAATTAGTGGACAAATACTTTACAATGCAATCAGATTTACATCAATGGTCTTTTTGAGCCTGACACAAGTTAGAATAAATAATTTTCAGTCTCTGAACTGAGCAGATAATTTTGTATTTTGAAAGAAATCAAATAAAATTCATGTCTACAACATGATTAAAACAGGAAAAAAGGTTTTGATTTATGTTTTATATAAACCCATTTGAGGAACTGAGAAAATGGACTGTATAAGAATTCTGTGTACCTTGTTTTTTTATTGTTATTTTTTTCTACAGTGGACACTGCTGTAGCCCTATCCGTCACAGATGCTGACTTTACAGATTTTACAGATGCTGACAGTATTTTTTTTAGCTTCTGGCAAGTAGAACCATGTTTGGTTATCCCATAGGCAGTAGAAAAAAGGACTCTGACACATAAAATGTGATGTGCAACCTGTGTAATCCACCTTTAAGTTACATTTCTGGATGCAGAAGCAGACTGTGTTGAGTGAAAATAGTTTTCCATGTCACTCCTGAGCCCATGTGGCTATTCTAATCAATGCGACATGATGCTCTCCCATGCAGTGATGCCTAAGGGCTCACAGGTCACATGGATCCACTGTGGTTTCTATCCTAGATCTTTGTGCTAAGGGATTTTCCCATTCTCCCAAGATTTTGCCACTATGTTGCACTGTTGATGTTTAAAGATCATATTCGTCGCAAAATTGGTTTGTAGGTAGTTATTTGTACCTCATCAAAATATCTTTTTAATATGTAACCAGCATAATATTATAGGTTTGTCTTTTACTTTTCTAAATAATTCAATGAATTTGGGAAGTGACGACACTGGAAATCATTCTTTGAGCCTCATAACGACAATTCCAAACAAATTGAAAGACTACAGATTTAAGTTTTCATCTTTTTGGAAAAGAGGTTTGTGGTATCAAAGCACATATTTCACAAGGAGCATAATTAAGTACAAAAATTCAACTGTTTGTGTTATTCAGCTCATCATAAACAAATGATATACTACCAGGACTTCTTTCTGTGAAAGAGAAAAGAATAGAATAGAAAAATATATTTACCCCTTGTCAGGGAAATTCGGATAGCTGAGCAGCATAAATTAATATATCATTCAAAATAGACATATGATTAAAATAGATAAATAACAAGCAAAATAACAGTGTTGGAACTAAAGTGGGAACGCACTCATTTAAGATAAATGGGTGGATAGTTTACTGGGTCAGTAATCCGTAGCTTCAAGTTTTCACACTATAGTGGATATCTTAGTTGTTAGCTTTAAAAAAACAAAACAAATATGTTTAATTTAATTCTAGTGTGTTGAGTTTATGAATCTGAAAGTATAAAGAATACCCTACTTCACTGTTTCATTCAGTCAAGAGAAGAAAAGTGAAAGAAGAGAACATGCCATTAAAATTTGTCGACCACTCACATCTCCGGGGATCCTGTCCTCCAACTTTTGTCCCTCAAGCTGCCCAGGCTCTCCCTCTTGGTCACCTTGTCCTCACGTGGACCCTTGTGCTCGCGGCGGGACACCGACGTTGTTGCTTTCTGCTCCAGCTGAGAAAGATGCTCCATGCTGCTGTACACCTGAAGAGGAAACAGCCAGATCTAATTATCAAGGTCTGACTCCAGCTCTTTTACAGCCCGATGAACAGTATGATATGACCCCTTTGAAAAACATATAGGCTACTGACAGTTACTATACAAATACTAACATGTCTGACTTGGCTTTCACACCACATGTCATTTATAAAACCGAGATTAATACTGACCGGTGGCTGGTGAAAATTCCATTAACACCAGGTTGTTAGCATAAGTAGACACACACCATAGGCTTGAAGCCTATGTAATAGTATATATTGCTACAGAATTCAATTTTCACAATGTTATTTGGCAATCCACCTTTAGACCCTGAGCCCTTTGTGACACGCTCATGTTTTATTTATTTAAAGTAGTTTTCTGGAAATCAGAATCAGTCTCCAAATAGTACTGTGATGTACCTTTCATGACCGGTGACCAAAAGCAAATATCAAAATGTTTTGGTGTATTTATCCATGGTGTTTTATAAATGGCTGTAGACAATAACTTTTAAAATTTCCTCAGAATTTATGACAATGATCTGAAAAAAAAGTGTCAGATTTAGAATTTTTTGTCTACTTTTTGTGTCATTCTCCAGAACCTTCCTGATCATGCTTTATTAAACAGCCAATGGATAAACTGAAGAGTCAGATGCATCTGACAAATTCTATATCTTTACTCAAACTTTTCCCAATGTCTTTAGCATATCACCTTTAGAAACCGTTTACCAACTGGTGATTGCTTTAGGCCTAAATTTTCTTATCTTGTCCTACAAATATCCATTCTTCTCTTTTTTATGGACAAACTCCATACCTTTATGGGCTGTACAAAGTTTTTATATGGGAGCCATTTGGTAATCATCTTAATGGTGCAAAAATATAATGTCAAAAGCACAGCTTAAACTATGGATCAATTTACATATCTTTATGACAGCTAACAAAGCAGATAAAGATAAAGTTGTCTGGCACCTGTAAAGCAAAACACTGGTTCAACTTTTGAGTTAGATACAGAAAGTCTGATGTAATATTGCTTATTACCTCCTAAAAGATCTCTGAGAATTAGTCCTTAACAACAATATATAAAGAAAGCCAGGGCGACTCTTGACTTCACAGATCAGTATAGATCTTAAACCCTCTGTCCATTATTTCTCCCAGTGAGCTATCCTCCTGCACATTAAGTGTTCTTATTTGTGCATGAACATGGAAATAAACTGGCTCTTTTCCATCACACAATATGAAATATGACACATAACATAAGAGTCCACATAAGGGATGACCCACTATACAAAAAAACATAACTTCATCTTCCATTCTTGTGGGTATTAACGCATCCACAAAGACATGCACATAGTCGTTCTTGAAGGCTCTCATTATATGCACAACTGCGCTATGTGGGGGAGGACAACAAAGCGTGCGGCGTTAAAGGAAGCCTGAAGGACATTTGGCAATGCACTATGGAAGCACATATCAGCTTTCTTTACAGGATGAAGAAAACAAAAAGACATAAACACTCAGACCCCTTTACCTTATTTCAATCAAGAAACATCTCAAAGGAGAGATTTCATTCCTCCGAAAATAAAATTAAAATTAAAAACTCATTTGAAATTGCTGGTTAAAGCTCAGTTATGATAGGCAGGTAAATCTCATTTTGACCAAAGGTTTTGGGGTTTGTGGACAATCAGAATCAAAATTACTTTTTAATAATACTATACAGTATGTACCATATTTGATACATATCGTTTTGCATCTGAGGCTTTTGCTTCGTTTAATGGTAAAAATTTTTGCTCAAATCCCTAATACAATAAAAAATGCCTGATAACAATGGGCAGAAGACTACACGACAATTATTTTGATTTGACTCGCACACTAACAAATGATGAATATTCAAAAATTATTTCAGTTTTTTTCCCCATTTTTGAATAAATCTGAGTTACAGATTTCCATCTGAAGATGTTCCCTGCAAATATTTTTTTTCTAAAGTTATTAAAACAATAACATTTAAGACACATATTTAACATTTTGAATAAGAGCTACTCTTGCTTATAAGCCATTCAAATGGCAGTTCTTCCACTTTTTGCATGTCTACCTCTTAAAACTGTTGGATCCTGCTATTTCATTGTTTATGAATCTGCTGATTAAAATTGAGGGCGAACCAGACGAAAGACGGAAAGAAGGTGGAAAGAGTGGGACCTGGAGGAATGCTCCCAGAAAAAGTGAGGCTGAATGTGAGAAGTGTTAGATGTGAAAACAAAAGGCCTAACAGCTGTGTGGATTGGAGGACCCAGACAGGCAGAGCAAAATGGGTAGTGTGAGGTCTCCACCTTCTAGGTGCCTGAGCTTTGTGTTGCCTAAAAATAGAAGCTGGAGACGAGGAGAGAGAGAATGAACGCTGCAGCTGTTAGACAGCCCACACAGACTTCATTAACACCAGATACGAGGCCCGAGTCCAGCCTCCAGGAGCCTATCTATGCGGCGTGACCTACTTCGTGCTGCCGCTCTTTTCTCCTCCCTTATCTAATCCTGTCAAATGATCTCAAGTGCCGAGCGAGCGCATAGGGTGTCAGGCCAGGCAAAGGGAGAAGAAAAGAAGAAAGCAGCGAGTTGTAAACCAGATAATGATGGAGAGGCAACGCCGTACCTTGCTAAAGCGGGGGGAGCAGGAGGAGAACTGCCTGATCTCCACCGGCTCATCGTCGTTGGTGTCGTCCTCGTCGTACGTGTTGATGTGGCGGTAACGATCTGAGCGGGCTGTCAGAGGAAGGAGGGAGGCAGACGAGAACTGTCATTGTAAAATAATGACTGGAACAGTGTCAGACAATGACTGTTCCACCCCGTAAACCCGCCACACTAATGCAACCGCTGACGGCTCAGGCAACACGTACTATCAAAGTAGCTGGTGTCCTCCTCGGACTCAAGGTGAGGGATGAACTCTGCTTTCTGCCTCAGCAAACTGTTCCAGTCAAGTTCGGTGAAGAAAGAGTGCTGCTTGACTTCAAACGCTCCACCTGGCGGTAGAGTCACAAGACGATATGGGCGTCAAAACGTGACAAAAACTGAAAATGTGACCAGGTCTTTTCTTCTTCAAACCATACGAGTTCCTCTTCAGTAAATCTCAGGGCCTAAAAGCAGAGAACCAGCTCCCTTGCTTCAATCAAAACAAAAAAACAAACTATAAAATATTCATCTATGTATAACAAGCCTTTTTTCCTTCGCTAACCTTTCAAAAAAATGGGGTCTATGTAGGAGTTTTAAAACCCTGCAAACACTCTGTTTTTTGGCCTTGAAATTTTAGTCTTGGTTTCTCTGGTGTAATGTTTTGCTTGTTTCTGCTAATATTGCAAGTTTTCAATCTTAAAGGTTACGTACTTTTGAGTAATTTTTTCACTGTGTTTGGCTGACTTGTTCCTGATTTCCATGTTCTTTATTGTCAACTCTGCTTCACATCTTATTTTTCAGAGCCTATTCTGTCTTTCTTTTAAGTTAGTTTTGCTTCCTGCCCTTGTCACTAACTCATGGTTTGGTTGAGCAGTATTTTCTTTCATTGGGAACCTTCTTAACTGAGTATGTAGTAGGAGTGAGGAAAAGAAATGGACACATTTGCGTGATGCTAACCCGAGGAGCTCTCTCTATGATATTATTAACATGGACACTGGGGCGTTCTTTATAAAAAGAACATAATAATATATATATATATATGATTCAGTCCCACAACAAACAAAAACAATGTTATTCTGGATTTTAATCGTTCAGCACTTAACCCCACAATATTGTTTAGCAAAGTCAGTGAAAAAAGGCCAAAGGAGATTATTTTCAGACTATTTTGTTCAATCCGTTCTTCAATTCTTCCGTTGTTCAAACTGTTTCTGCCATTTCCTGTTCTACAGATGTTTTCATTTACATATTTATTTTTGCGTTTACCTCCTGCAATGCCTGCCTGGCGTTAATTTTTTTTCTGTAGTAAAGGAGATAAGATTGGACTTTTTCTTTTTAGTCTTTTTTTAGAAAGTTACACTGTTTTTAAATGCAGCTCTCTTCACACCAAATCCCAACACTTTTACTTTTTTTGGAGGCATTTTGTCCGTTCTACTTGAAACAGCTTTAAGCTTTACAAAATCTTCCAAGCAACACTAAATCCTACTAATTTTCCTAATTGACCTTTGAAGTCAAATCTGTAGTTTTGATTTGGCTCACAGGCGATTATATGAGAAGTCCTGGTAGAAAGTTTCCTCATTCTTTTACAAATGAATTTTTAGTGATGAAGATGATGTGTTCCCTCATATCTGTTTTTATTCTCGTCTTTGGGCATTTCGTCACTTCCTCATTGCCTTTTCCCACGCTGTCAAATTCAGCTCATTTTTACATCCACATCAGTACTTCAGTCCAGATGGTCTTTATTGCATGTTGCTCTTTTGACTAATCAGTTTGATCCCTGTTCTTTAAAACTCTCCCTTGTCCTTTACTGCCCCCAGGACTTCAAATAACTCTCCACTGCCTCATCTCAGCTTTCTTTGATACCAGAGAATCAGGATTCTTCTTAGACGGTTCTGCCGCCAGGTATATCTGTTTCTCTACCAGCTATGTGCACATGCCTATGTCTTTCCTTCCAATTATATCATCTCTCCATCAAGACAAATATAATGATAAAAGAAAAACAGTTTCAATAATAGCTTTCTGCAGTGCTTTTATCTGATCTTTCTTTATTGAAGTCAGCTTGTATCTGAACTGGTCGAGTAAGCTTTCATATTTTCTTTCAAAAAAGTTTAAATTCCCAAAATTGATCATGCACTGTTCGTCAGTCCAATTACGCTATATAATATCCAAACGTAGATTTGTTTTCAGTACCTGTGCCCAGCCGTACAAGGGGGTTGGTCTGCAGTAGAGCAGAGATGAGGGCCTGGGCATCTGCAGGCAAAGCCTCGTCCCCATCAGGCCAAACGATGTCATCTTTAAGAGGCACAAGACAGAGAGCAAAGACTCAGAAAATTAACGTCATAAAAACAAAGCTAATACAGTAATTGCAGCTGTATTCCAAACTTTGTGAGCTAAACTCTACAAGAATAATTAATAGACTTCCCCAATTACAAAATAAACAAATAATTATGGTTTCTATTCCCTGTGTCTTTCTGCTTTGATCGCAATATATTTAGCTTGCAACCAAGCTGTGTTTAAGTTGTAACCTTTCCTCACCTGTGATAACTTGGCCAAATAGCTCCTCTGGAGTATCTCCAAAGAAAGGCACACAGCCCACAAGGAACTCATAGAGGATAATGCCCATGGCCCACCAGTCCACAGGCTTCCCATAGCCTTGACGGAGAATCACCTCTGGTGCGATGTACTCTGGTGTCCCGCAGACCTGAAAAGAATGAGAAAGGGAAATACAGAAGGCAAAGAGGAGAACATTTTGGAAATAGTTAATAATTGTTCCTTTTAAACTTCCAAGGAGGAGACAATATATGCTCAATGTTTCAATTATAAAATTAGACATCATTATTTCCTCTCTTGGTAATGATACAGTATATTAACCTCTTAGCATAGATTTATATAACTGTTCATAGCAAGCATTGAAGACATGTTCTACTTTATGAGGAATGAGTCCTGCTGGGATTTGGTTTATTTTTTTCTTAAAGCCATATGGTTGATGATAAAATCAGAAAACCTAATAAAATTTCCAGATTCCAATTGGCTGTGAATTATTGGTCTTTCTCAACAAATATCATCTCTGGCCTGCATGCAAAATGCTCACCTAATCAGTATACCCTATAAAGACATTAAAATGGAATTTGTTGTCTGTGAAAACTGCAGATGAGAGATTATTGCTGGCAGACGAACAGACACCTGCTTCCACACAGAGGCCGTCTAACTGATTATGGTTCAATTCAGAACATAAACAGTAACTGTAATTACAAAATGGCACCGTGATGGAGTAATTCTGACTGAGCAGGAAGCATTGTGATGCAGTGTCTTTGTTTGGAGACAATTGACGGTCGACTTGGCAGGATCGCACGCATGGCTGGAGGAGACACCGCATTGTGCGCATCCTATTCATACCGATCTTAATAAATTAATTGTCAGAAGCCTCCACCAGGCGGTTGCAAAACAATACCACTAATATTTAAAAACCAACAAATAAGAAGTGCAACATGAACAAGGTAGCATACCAAAACAATCTGTGCCAGAAAGAAAATCGTTTAAAATTTTAATTTCAACAACAAAGTATTTCAAATATCATTGGAGCAGAATCTAAATTGTAATCCCACTGTAGTAAATTCAGTTTTTTATCGACTATTTACAAGCAGACAGTGTGTACAAGTGTAACCTTTGTTATTGGTAGTTTAGATGACCTTTGGAAAAAAAAGGAAGATGACAAAGTTTCGTTTTAATTTTGACCCAAACTGAGATTTTGTCTGCGAGATCTTCAGAACCCCAGACCTCTCCAGACATGGAGACAGCGAGGACTGAAGAAAAAACAGAAGCTTGATTTGAAAGGAGACTGATTAATAAATGAAGAAAAAATGACAACCAATAGCAGGAGAGAGGAGTATACTAGATTACATGAATGAAAAATCACTGGATAAGGGAGATAACCAGAAGTGAAGGTGGAGGAGACACTGGAAATGGAGAAAGACACCACAATAAAACACAAGAAATCGAACATGGAGAATAACTGAAGAAACTCTAACCCAGAACCAATGGAGTAGGAAACAAACAAATAACATGGGAACAAGAACAAATAGGAACTCAAGTGGGGAAAAGATACCAAATACAGAGTAAAAAAAAATCCACTCCTGACTTTACCTGTTTGTCCAGGAACTCCCTGGCATCTTTCTCTATGTGTCCTTCATAAATGTTGGTGGTCAGGCTCATTAGACCCATCTTTGACAAACCAAAGTCTGTGAGTTTGATATGTCCCATGGAGGTGATAAGCAGACTATATGGAGAGAATAAAACATCCCTTCAGAAAACTGCATTAAGATCAACTTCTGGAATATGGACATGAAATACATTAAAAACCTTTAAGGTTATTTAACATGAACATGTAGAAAAAAATCCCTTAAAGAGCAAACTTTTTACAAGAATGACGCGTTCGCATAATCTTAAATATTTAGTTTTATAGTAGCAGAAAATGCAGAAGTATTTACATTTTTTAACCTGTGTTCTAAAGTCCCCTTTTCACTGTCTTTTTCCCTTCTGCTCCAGGTGTGCAATATGTTTTTTAAGTTTGGGCTGTAATTTAAAATCCTTTTTTTTTATTATTGTGTATTGTAGTTCACACTGTAGGTGTCAATTTTGTAACACGGTTTAAAATTTCACCCCAAACTTTGAATCTATTTGTGCACAACAAACTCACACTATGCACCACAGTATGATATAACAGCTATTGAACTGTTGGAACAAATTAATACTATTAATGTATACATTGATAGTATACATGTAAAACTATAACTATGACAAAACCAAAAGCTGCTCAGTAACCCTTCAGCGCTCACACTGCTCAGCAGCGTCCCAAATAAAGATGACATGTAACACATTTCAAGGCAAATTCAGGGTGACACCAGCAGCAACAGGGCTGCATGCTGGTGGTCACTAAACATGCATATTAGATTAAGCTGGTGGCCCTAAATTGACCATTTGAGTGAGTGTGGGCGTGCCTAGTTGTTTTGTCTATTCGTTTTTGTGTGTCTCTGTAATGGAATGGCAGCCTCTGGTTGATACCCCATCTCCTGCCCAATGACAGCTGGGAAAGGCTAAGCCCAACCAAGGTCCAACTCGTTATAGAAAATTGATGGACGAATGGACCAATAGGACAACCTACTCAATAAGTATGCGCCAATGATTTTCAATAATGATCTTCAAACAATGATTCTTAAGTGATTTAGTCACAACAACTAACTTGTTTACACACAGAAAACATAATTAGTTGTTAACAGAAAACACACTCACTTGTCAGGTTTTAGGTCTCTGTGGACAATACCATAATTATGCAGATATTCCAGGGCCAAGACGGTTTCAGCAAAATACATTCTTGCCAACTCCACAGGGAGAGCCCCAATGTTCTTCAGCAAAGTGGCACAGTCACCTCCTGAGATCACAAAAACACCACAGTCTATTAACATTTCTTAGGAGAAAGTTAAATCCAAATGTGTTGTAGATGACATATGCCGATCTTCTTATTAGGTAGTACTTCTGCATAGTTTAACTGTCTTAACGTTTAATTACTCATCTTTTCTAAACACTCACCCAAGACTCCTCATTGTGTTAATAACAGATTGACACGTGTTATAACTTGTGTTTTTATAACAGCTAAGATGGACTTGACAGAATTTTAGTTGCAACTTCTAACTGTAGTGCATTTAACATTTTATGACCTGCATTTAACAGAGTTCTTGAAATCACAAACATTAAAATAGGCTGAAAACTGAAAATCAATGACATTAAAAAGGAACAACTCATCTGGATACTAAAACTTGTCTTACAAACTAAGCAGACACTTTGCTGAGCTTATGCAATCATGGCTCATCGCTAATTGTGGCTCATGCAAAAAATAGGGCAAGAGGAACATTAAACGTCAAACATTCTCTCTTGACCTGTCACGTTCCAAAACGTCCACGAGAGAAACCGATGACCTCGGAAAGCACAGCCCTCAGCCTTTTCTGCAGTGGGAACGAATTCTGACCCCCTCACCTTCCACGTATTCCATGACCATGCAGAGATGCCTCCGTGTTTCGAAGGAGCAAAACATGGAGACTACGAAGGGGTTCTCTGCGAAGGTGAGGATGTCTCTCTCCACGAACGCCTGCTGGATCTGATTCCTCAGTATCAGGTTCTGCTTGTTGATCTTCTTCATGGCAAAACGCTGACGCGTCTCCCTGTGGCGTACCAGATAGACAGCACTGGAAAGAGGAGAGGCCACAAGGGCACAGAACAGAGGAGATGAAGTGGCAAACACAGCAGGCAGTCAGGATTACAGCCAAGAGACGTGAGTTCAGTATAGTATGACGGTGAATACTTGTCAGGTGGATATTAAGACTTCAAAAGCACCGGCACAGAATGTCAAGCTTAAAGCTAGAGGCCATTTTTTTTCTTGTTGGTGCTGAGCTCCATTTTTTGAAGTGCACCTGAGAAAGATCCTTAATGCAGGCCTGGCAGACACAATGCTTTTCTAAGCCAGCTTTAGTCATCTTTTATCACCTTTTCAGCATGTGCAGTGGTCAACATCAGTAGGAGGTCATGTGCTATTCTGGCTTTAAATCCCAAGAGGAAGGCTGTTTGTTGTGTAGTACATCTTAAATCATGTACATTTCTTTTGCACCATTCAATAAGTCAACCTCTGAATAAATGTTAGATCTGCTTTCTAAAATGTATACGATCCAGATCCCTTTCATCCTCCATTATTGGCGTTTCAATTGTTCTCTGTGCCAGGATAAAAGGTTGGAGAAGTGCTTTTAGTGTAGCTAGTTATTGTCTTATGCCATGCCAAAAATACACTCCGTCCCACACAGCATTATAAGATACAAGTACATTTATAGGGAAAAAAATTTAGTAGTTAGCGGATGCTTCATAAATTTCTAATATAATGTTGTTGGACCGTAAAGTTTTATCAAGCAACATTTTGAAAATTTATGGCATCATATCAGCTGTACAGATCCTCCAGTTTAGCACAACTGCATCATACAACAGACTTTCTGGACATTTGTCATTGCTTTTTGTTAAATAATTAATCTATACAGAGATTTCTGCATGTTCATTAACAGGATCTATTGGTGCCAGACAAGTAAGTGCCAAAGAAAGATTTAGGGTTTCTATTTATACAGAACTCTGGTATCGGCCTTTCAAACCTTTTCAAATCTGAGCAGGTTATGGATACATGCAGCTAATACTCTTCATTCAGAGAAAAAGATTAACAATATTATACCAATAAAAAACAACAAGGTGCTATCCGTTGAAGAATTTGCCTTATAATAATGTACCTGAATTCAAACAATAACTTGTCCACTTAAGTCCCAGTCCAAAAATCTAGATTGCGGTACAGTATGCTGAGATGGAATTGTTGATCTATTCTTTGCACATCCTTTTTTCTATTTCAGCAAACAAACAGTACAAACAGACAAACAGTAAGCCCCACCACTTAGAAATTAAAGTGTCTTCTTAATCCCTTTGAAAACACACTGCAATTCAGTTTGAGTAATATTACTGAAATCTCAAAGCTTTCAACATCTATCTGCTTAAGTGGGAGTAATAATTCTAACAGAAGGGGTAAATATGTAGAAAGCCTCGCTGCATTTTTGTTACAATTCTGGTACCTTAGATATCCGAAGGCTTCAATAAAATTGATAACTTCAACAATCACACAGTGACTGAGGAACTGGGATGCGATGCCTATGGATTTTTAAGAGAAACACATTCCAAAGGGCTAATTTACTAAAAAAAAAACACTACATGAATTCTTACAAAAATTGACTAAGTGCCTTAACTACTGTCAATATAATCTAGGGGTTAAAGATAGAATCCCATCATGGACGAAATAAATACATGCTGATTGTACAATTGGAACTACTGTAAGACATTTTGAATTTTTGTAGTTGTTTTTGAGTAATGTTCCAACACCTAAGTCTCATGAAAGCTTTGAAAAGGCCAACGTAGCTTTACTGGATTTCATTTGGTGTCTGTGGGGTATCCATGGAATATGAATGTATGATTCACCCATAAGCTCCATTGCTGATCAGTTTGATGGTCTGAAAGTCTTCCTCACTGGGCGGCTTGATGGATCTCCCTTTCCCCTGTTGACACCCATCAGATAAAAAACACAATTCAAACAACAAAAAGAGGATTCATTTTCCAATAAATGTCTGTGCAAGTTTGCACACACAGACAGTATGCAAATGTATGTGTGTGAGTAGGCGTTCTTACCTCTGCGGAGTCATCCGTTTCTGGAGTATGTGGACCTTCGCTGTCATAACTTTCAAGAGTGTTAATGTCTGGAGAGAAACATGTTGGTTAGGACAAATTCTGGTGTCATGACGAATATTGCTTTGCCAATTGTTTTAGCGTTAACAGACTCCCACACTGCTTTGAGCACCCTCAACCAAATTCACGTTTCAAAACAGAAGAAGAGCCAAAAGCCCATCCTCTCCCAATTTCTCTTCCCTTCTTCAGCCCTCCCTCCTCCTCACTTTATTCTTCTTCCCTCCACGAGCAATTCTGGCAGCTTATGTTTAATGCGCTAGCACTTTTGTGTGTGACAGCTGTTTCAGAGCACTGATTACACCATTGTTTGAAGCGGCGACACAGTCGAGCGATGATTAACTTTCCATGCCATTTACAAACCCTAAATGTGGATTCTAAATTAATGTTAAACAAAATAAGTCGCTGAGATGAGAGTCACATTTTCAGTCGGTTTCTTGTTTCACGCTGAAATTTTCATCAACTGCCACTGAGTCTCTGTGAGAGACGGGGAAAAGAACTAACTGTGACAGTGTGAATGTACAAGCAGCTACGTGGGTGTGCGCACGTGCCTGTGCATGACAATGGAAGTGCTAAAGAAAGTGCTACATCAAGATATCAAGTGGTACATAGTTAGCAGAGATTAACTCAGAAAGGCCTAAAATAACAACACTTCGCACAGAGTCAGAAATACAACCACAGTGGTTCCGTTGCTTTGCGGTTAAATCAATCGGGCAAAGAGAAGCTCAGAATGGGTTAGAACTATGAGTTTGCTAGATTAATTAAATTAATTATTTTTAGTCAAAATAGGATATTAATGGACGTGCTCAACTCGAAAAAAGGTGTTTTGGAACATCAGACATTTAATTTTCACCCAGAAAATATTAGCTCCTCCTACATTTTGATGGCAGGATCATGACTGACAGGGTTGGTATGGTGTCCTTTGGGTCAGTGTCCAGCTCCATCCCCATGCCATCTGACATCAATGACTGAGTGCTGATTCGGCCGTTTCTTAGTCCATCAAGCAGCTCCACAAATAATCTCAAACCTCAGTTAATCTGACCAAATAAGTTTTTTTTCCTTTATTTGGTCCATTTTAAAGTGAATATGACCCAGATGGGACACATTGAAATCTGGACTTTAACCTTTAGGCCTACTGTGGTTTAAAAGTTGAACTATGTTCAAAATAATGATTTCTGGAAGTGTTTGAATATGACACTCCACCTCTTGCCCATCATGACTCTTTTAAATGCAGTCTTCTCTGAAGATTTTGATCATCTATTACTTTTATTGGCCATGGCAGCAATGTCTCCAGATTCTCAGAATCCTTCAGTTATATCATGTCAAATAAACAATGGAATATTCAAAGACTTGACATTCCAAACTTTCTGAAATCACTCCAGAAAAAGTGTTTTTTCTGCCCATCATTACTTCTCTAAAATGCTCGTTTTGAGCCTAATAATCTTAAAAACCTAATGAGTTGCAACGCGTTCCTTCAGATGTTTCTTTACACCGTCTCCTACATATTCATCCCTTATTCTCCAGTCTCTTTTAGAATCCCCCTGGGAGATCTAAACTGAAATAAAGCTTTTTGTTTTCTTTTTCTTTTTCTGATTATTCATGTTACTTTTAGACTGGCTGATTCACAAAACAATATAAGGCAGCAGTCGAGCAGAGCCACAGGGCAGCAGTCCTGATTATTATTCAACCTGACAACAAGGTTAGTGTCTGTGGTAATCTGCTACAACATTTTCTGTTTTTACAGCATGTAATTCAGAATACCATTCAATCTTTATTTTGCTTATGTTATTTAAAGGGATAACAATGAAGACAAAATGGTGCAGTCGACAGATATGACATCATTAACAGCTGAGATTGTGTGCTTCTCCAGCAGTAGCTGTCTCTAAGTAACACTGGGGATAGCAAAGCTTTCTCATCTGATATCAGTAATAATAAACATAGAGTCTTTGTGTCTTGTTTGGAGGTATGATGAAACAAAGAGACACAAGTGAGGTTGGCTCCAGCAGTTGAATGAATTCCTTTAGTTTGAAAAGAAAATCCAAGTGCTCATTTATCTAAAGCTAACCAGTCAACAAGCTGTACTAAACAAAGAAATCACAGTGGAACAGAGATTGAACTAAGTCACAACAGATCACAGCTGTTCAACAAAAGAACACAATATATATTCAAATATACTTTGTTTTCTTTTCATTCCCTTGGACACAACTGCTTTTTCTTTATGGAAAGGTATGGGTTAATCTCCTGTCTCCAGCCCAACACTTAACCAGCAGACATACGATAGGTATTGATCTTCTTTTCTGACTCATTTTAAAGGTGAACAAGCGAACTTTGGAGAAAAAAAATCAGCATTTTTAGAAACTTACCTGAATATTTTCTGTTTGTACATGTTTTCGTATCAGATAAAATTATTTGTCTTACCTTCCAGTGGGTCTCTGGTCAGGCCCAACTGACTGATGATGTATCGAGGAATGTCTGCTTTCATCAGTTGTCCCTCTTTGGCGTGGTCCTCTGCAGCTTCTAGCAGGTGGTAAAACTCTTCTGGGTTGAACTCCTGAGCAAATGGTTGAAGAGGCAGTAAAAGATGTCACAAAGAAGGAGAAATATTTAAAAACCGTAAATGACACTGCAGAAAATTGGGTTTCTGACTCCGAGATTTGAAAGTGTGGACATTCAGGTAACTATATTTCTAGAGTAAATGTGGCAACTTTGCAGATCATGTGACACAAAATCCATAACCAGCCCATGCTAAGGGTGCAGTAACAGCTAATAAGGGGGTGACTTAAAGCAGGAACATATTTGGCCATCAAATGCGTCACAGTAATTTGAAAGTACGCCTGACTTCACCTACAGCACATTCAGAAGTGCAAGTCAGCACTGCTATGAGGCTGTCAGACAAACATAATCAGTGTTAATACTCTTCCAAACTTTAAATTGCTTTTTTTTTTCTTTTTTTTTTTTTAGAATATCTTTTCCCACAACATTACAGTGATTTGTGCTATCCCCTGGGATTCAGTTTGATTCCTGTCGGTGGAATAACATTTTGATTAAAAGGCCCCGGGCAGCCAGGATCATTTGCTTCCCCCCCCTTTTTTTTCTTTTTTTTTCATATAAGCTCCCTTCGACCAGAGAAAAAAGGAACTGGGGGAGTTAACCCGGTTCTCTGATAGCTTGCTCTGCTCCAGGATAACATTCATGCAACAAACAGCTCACTGGCGATGTGACATTTTCACCAAGTCAGACCTCGTAACTGACTTGAATGCGAAATGAATTTTACTATGTATCGAGTTCTCCTCCCTAACCCAAGAGTCAGGAGGATCTAAAGTCCCCTCCAAATTCTGAATGACCCAATCGACCTCCTCTGGCGGTTGCCTGGACGACGGAAAGATGAGCCCGAGGCGCAGGGAAGAGGGATGCCATAGCTGATAAACAGAGTTAGCCATCAATCTCAGGGCTGGTTTACAGGTGTGGCTAAGCTTCTTGCGTGCACATAGAGGCTTATCATTTCAACACAAATTTAGGTGAATTATGTATCAGCGTGCCGAGGTCACACACCTCTATCTAACAGCTAACTGAATTGTGAAAAGTCTGACAGCTCTGTAAAAAAGGACAACAACAGCTTCCGCTACGTGTAATACATTCTTAAGAGGTAAATCTATCCTGCAGTAAAAATAATCTACTGCAGAAGAAGATGTGTGACATGATGAATGACGTGTAATACAAGTGAGGAAGAAGTAGCTAAATGTCAGAGAATACCAACTGGTTTCCATTTCAAATGTGCTCTTGTATAAAGGGCAAGATCTCTAACTGCAATTAAATACAGTCATCTGCATTTAGAAAAGAGTCCTATCACTATCTGTATATTCTAGGAAAATGTTAAATTATTACCTTTGTAATAGAAAAATGCCTTTCACATATCAACCTGAATGTAACTTCTTTTCAAACATGATTAATTACACGTTATTTTTTGTGTAGTTTCAGTGCTGTTGTTTGAAATTAGGAATATTGTTCTCCCTTACAATTCATCCACAGAAAAAAGATAATGGCAACCGACCATGGTTGGAGCAAACATTACAGGAAGCAGAACCTCAAGAAAATCCTGCAGTAAGAGCATCTTAAAGCATAATTCTCAACCAACCAAACAACAATGGAAACAAAGTCTCATGAGGAGTTTAAACATCAGGCATTTTTTATATGTTACCATGTGTGTACCTTGATCTGTAAGTGTCATACAGTATACTTTAAGTTTATATTTTGAGGTTTCAAATAGCAATTTACCATCCTGAAAAATCTTTTTTTGAAATTTTGAATGCTTTTTGTCAGTATTTGTGACCTATTGACAATGCAGCAATTGCATAAACAATCTTGGTTTTTTTTTTGGCACCAAGCTCCTCCTTTCAGTTTTGCACTTCTGTTTGGCCTACGCCAGCTGGCTGTGTTGGAGCAGTTTGCTATGACGTTGCTGCACTTGCTGTAAAAAAAAGAGTGTGTTTGGAAGTAAAGCCACACCAGCACACATTCTCAAAACTGTTTTTGACTTATGGAGTATTTTGTGTGCTTTACAACAGCGCAAAATAAGCTGGAGCTGGAAAATGGGGTGGTGGTTAGCACTGTTGCTTTTACAGCAAGCCCTATCAGTGGATGCGGGGCTCTCCCTGGGTACTTCAGCTTCCTCCTGCTGACATGTCAGGTTGATTGGTAACTGGATTGATCCTAGGTGTGAGTGTGTTAGTGAGAAGGTGACTTGTCTTTTTTGTCCCTGTACGGCTCTGTGAGGGACTGGTGACTTGTCCGGTGTAACCCTAACCCTAACCCCACCTCTCGCCTAGTATTATCTCGGCACAGGCTCCCACCTTTACACGGTTAGGTGGTTAAAAAAGATGTAATGGTCTGTATCTTTCAGATATTGCCCTGATGCCTGACCCTAACTTCCAGATTTGCCAGCAATAAAAAAGACATGTCATCTTTTTCTTATATTCAACATGTCTGTCCTCAAGCTTCTTTCTCACTTTGCCTGTTCAGTCATGCTCAGAATCCCACCAGATGATGGAAAAAATGTTTAGTTAGGATTTTTTTAAATTTCCTCAAAATGCTCGTTAAAGAAAAATTTAGGGGGAATTTTCATTGTTTTTTTTTTCTCTTGGTCACCATGGCAGGTATACACACAATCAGAGAGCGATGTTCTACTCACCAGACACTCCAGCAGCCTGGCCGGTCGAGATATTATGATGAATAGCTTTTTGACAAGCTCTGTGACAAACGTGAGCTCGGAACTCTCTGAGCGCTTATATGCCTGACGGAGGAAAAACAGACACTCTATGAGTACACGACTCCAAACCGTCACAACCTCGGCGACTCAACCGTCACGACTCACGTCGTGAAGCAGCTTCTCCAGGTTCTCCTGCAGTTCGCAGAAGTAAACGGTGGTAATGAGGCCCTCGCGGGATTTGGTCAGACAGTCTCTGGATAGCTCGGCTATCTGGTGGTGGATGAAGCTGAGGACCCCGTCAGCCAGGGGCAGAACACTCTCTGGGGTGTAGCTCTGGATAAACTCTGCCAGCCTCTCCTCCATCTGAGCTGTGGCCTTATTAGGGTCACAATTGAGGTAAACGGGCAGAAAGAAGAGCATATAATCTCACACCTCAGACTTTAACACATTGTTCACAACTTCATCAAAGCATACCTTGATAACAATGATTTCTTGATACATCAATCAAACATCACTACACGCTGTTCTCCTTGCAAATTCTTTTGTCTTCTTTGTTTTATGAATGTTGTTATTTGAACATGCTTTACACATATCTTAAGGGCATTAAATTAAATGACCTAATGTGACATCTCTTTTCCCTGTTACACAGAATGGTTGTTCTTAATTTTTTTCTTTGCATTGCAATTAATAACTTCAAAAGATATTTTCACACATCACTCTGCTTGCTTATAGTTGAATATCTACCTATTAAAAAATTCAGAAGAGAAATTATACAACACGATCACTTTGTTTGTGGCTGTTAAGCTTTGAAAATATCTCATTAAGAGAGTCCCTCAGACCAGCGGGATACTGTTACATCGCACTCCCAGCACAGTGAATTATCCAGCCTCGTTCTCTTTATCTACAACTAACTTCAAGTTCACACCATGCTGCCCTCCCTGTACCATTGAAGAATGAAGCTGAGACTAGTGCTTGGGGTCTTTGACTTTATTTCCATTTGCAAATTGTAAATTCCCTTGTAGTTGGAGGCAGCAGACAGCAGAATTTGGCATTTCAAACTTGTACTATTAGTAAAAAGTTGTCCATAACAGTAATAATATGTAATGTTGACCTTTGAAAAGTTGAACAAAACACAGAGGAATGAACTGACATTAAAGCCTAGTTTAATCATCATTAAGCCTAGTCTAATCATGTGAAGGAGGAATTGTGATGTGTTTTTGTATGAACAATGCCCTTGTGTGAAGCATGATGTTCAAGCCAGTTCAAAACAGGACTTGTAAAAAAAATATAGAGCCTTAAAGAGAGATCAATACCAGCCACCCATGAGCCACTCATGTCTGAACCTCAGTGGAGGACGAATGTGTTTCATATAGTTTTCATATAGTGTCATAAAGCTAAAACAAATATTTTAGGCAAATAGGAAAGTCAGAAATATATTTACAATGTTATACATATATACAATGTTATCTGTGTAATATATTTACAGCTAGGTAAACATAATTCTTAACAAGGTAAATTTTTGTTTTGTTATTTTTTGCTGACATCACAGGGGTTTTTAAAGATGTCAGGCAATAAATGATTAACAAATAATTCACCCGTATAATTGTGATTAATTAATTGTGACATCCATGCTGCCATCTAATAATGATGAGAGAGCAGCTGTAATGATGCTCTGAAGTCACGTGCAAAGACTATGTAATGTGGACACCACAAACAGCAGCATCTGTGTGTAATGGCATCTGAACCGAGGCAGCTGGATATGCGGCAGTAAAGCACAACCAGTTAAAAGACATGTTGCCACGCCGTTATCTGGCTGACTGGTTTATGGCTAACTGTGGAAATGGAAATGAGACACCTCAAACCGCATAACAGTGACTTGATTGATGTGTGTGACTATTTGTTTTTTCTGTGGCATACAGGGAATGTGTCTGCATTTCTTATTTACAACCTTGTGTTGTGTGATATTAACTGTGTTTTGATTCAGTTTACATAATCAGGCACTCACAGAGAATTTATATATATTCTATTAACTCCAACATTTCAGGCTATGCTAACGATAAAAGAAAATTTGATACATTTAATTTAATTAGATAAACATAACAACAACCTAGTAATAACTCAATGTTATTTGTTTCACAAAAGCCCAAAACAAAATGCTGAATCAGATTGGGAAAATGGATCTTTAGCTCAGTAAATAATCTTTAGCACTGACAACATGTCTCCGACAAGACTGTTGAGGAATTTGGACTTATTTCTTTTCAAGCTGTTGCATCAGTTCACAAGGTTAATATTTCTAGCACAGCTAATGCAAGGTCCTACCAGCATTTCAGTCATATGACGAACCGCAACACCACGGATATTTACCTTCTCAGGCATTCTGTTATAGATCAGCTGCTGTGGTTGCAATGAAAGGTTCTGCTGCATGACCCAATTTCAAACCAGCTTTAGCTGTCCCATTTCTGATTAAATAACATTATGATATATAGAGGAACCTTATAGTCTGCTTAGTCAGATCAACGACTGTCAACACTCGGTTGCTGCAAGGCAACTCGAAAACATGACTTCACCACAGTGGAATATGGTGTGAGGTATTTATGCTAATGAACAGGATTTTGTTTTCACCAGGGTGGTGTGTCTTCAAGATATCCCCTTTAGTCTCATTGTCCAAGGGACAGTCTTCAAGATACCTAGTAGTATATTCAAATGCAACTTTGCACACCTAAGGTGTCCTCGGAAATGGGGGGTGCCTATAGCCTGATTGGTGATGCAGCTGTCTACCAAGCAGAAGCCTCAGTAGTTCGACCATCATTTTAGAGAGAGGAGCGTTTTTCCTGTAAACCTTAAAAACAAATCTTGCCTGTTCAGACTTTTTGCAATTGTGCTGTCACAAAATGTAACATTTCGCATGCAGACTGAGATGGAGCTCTTGGACTTGCTGGGTCTAACCTTGGGGTCAAATTGCTGGGACGCCCCCTGCACTCTGAAATGACAGCTGTCTGAAATGTTTTCCGCTTGTGAGAGATCTTTCTCACTGTAGAGTGATTGACTCAGGTTAGTTTGTAAATGGCTTTATAAACCTGATGGGCTGATATAGTTGCAGCACCTGAATGCTACTGACCATCTTAGTTCCTATGAGAGCAGTAAGAGTATACTCAGCTTTCACACACTGCTTACACATTTTGGCTTTTTTTATTAAATGGACAATGTGATTGTATGTATGATATATCATGTGTTGTCTATGTACTGTTTACCTTGTTATAACGCCCTGTTCTAAGATTATTTGTTTATTGCTGGTTGTGTGAAATCTACAATGAATCTTCACATACATTCTTTATAAATGTGTTCACATAAAAATCTTTCAATCACTTTCACTGTTGATAAGGGATGTCTATTATGCATTATGTTTGCCAGGCATGTGCTTAGAGATAGATCTGACATGTGCGTATTTGTTTTCGTGAGCCTGACCTTGGGGAAGCGCTCCTTGTAGACATGGTTCATCATTACTATTTCATTGTCATAGCAGGATGGAGAGCGCCCCGGGCTGAGGAGAGACAAACACAGACAACAGGAGTGTAATATGCAGCCCCGGTGGAGAACATCAACGGGGGTAGGATTGCGTAAAACAGAGCGAAATATAGAGAGCGAAAAAAAGTCTTCAATCGAAAACAGAAACGAGTCGCTGCTTGGCCTCATGACCATCCTGCATATATGCTATGCTGATTAACTGAGCTGGAATTCGGCAGACTCTTTCTCTGTGAGGCATCCGGCATCTTCCCGCATGCCACGCAGCACTCCTCCATCCCAGCATGGTACAAATATGAGAACAAGCATGAAGAAATGGGACTGCTTTGAGACACACATGCACAGATGGGAGGCAAAAACCATCAATGGGGGAAATCAAACCATGCAAAAAAAAAATCTTCTCAACCCTCACAGAAGAAAAAGCATTTCAAGAAAAGATGTGCATGGGGAAACGCATTAACAGTTTACCCTCACAGAACAACATTGTGATGTGAAAGATGATAATGAGACGTGTCAAGGTACACAATAAAGGCAGTACCGGGGGCCGCGAGATAATATCGAGGCCAGCCAAAGCAAAAGAGCTCAGTGTGCAGGCAGAATACTGATAAGTAGTGATGTGTTGCGTGTAGTTAGGGCATGCTGCACCTAGAGGGGAGACTATAATAGGTGTGGTTAGAGAATACACACTGGGGACTCCTGCTAATCGAGAAACTGCAGCACCCCAGAGAAGCACAAAAACACTGGAGGGTAGTCTGATATAATAACAGTGGTGAACAATACACTCAGCCGAAGTGGATTGTTTCTGGGCAAATATTCTTCCCTTATTTGAGCATAACTTTTTCCTGTTTCTTTTTTGGATCAAGTTAATTTGATTGTATGCAATCACCTAATACCTTTTCTATCTCACAAAACATACACTGAATAGAAAATATATGATTCCATGGATCTAACCACAAGTAAGAAATACAGGATAAGTTTGAGTTTGTCACTTGATGTTATTAATTTTTTGTTTTCTCAGTGAAATCATGTTCACTCAGTAGACTTGAAATTTCTGTGGAGTTGAAACTGATCCTATTTTATTTTCCTCCTCTTTTCCTCTTGAACTTCTATTATTCCTGTGAAATTTCTGATCCCTGCTCTTTACCTGTCATCCCGTTAATGCGCTGTGCTCTGTCTTGAAATGTTCTTAAACTGGCGGTAATCTTCTGATTTTCTTTTCCTAGATGAAAATCTACAGAAATGCATTGATTGTTGACCTGATTATATCCAACAGAACTAAATCAGACAGAAACGGCTTTTAAATGCCAGGTAATACACTAATGCTACATGTGTGATTTTGCTGCACATTTAAAAGCGATTCATTGACATTTACCAAGCATGACATCATTGAATAATCTACGCAAAATAAATCCTTCTCATTGCATACAAAATCCTTAAAGACCTAGCGGTTCCTTTTTGTGTAAGATCTTTATAGTGAATATGACCCTACCAGATCACTCTGCTCTCAGCACTGGGCTCCACCTGTTGTTTCCAGTAGTATATTGACCAGAATGGAAGGCAGAACCTTCCATTTTCAGGCTCTCCTGCTGTGGAGCCAGCTACGTTAAAACTGGAGCTTAAAACTGATCTAATTCATAGATCTACCCTTTTTCTACCCTTTTCCACCCTGTTTCTGATTAAGTTGCCTTTTTTATGCTTACAATCATTTCTTTGTATTCTTTCCACTTTATCAGCCTCCATAATTGGTCCTTAGTTTCCACTGAAATCTTTGTGAATTATGCATGCTTCATCTAAATCCTTCTTTCGCTTGGTAAATCACTTTGGTTATCACCTAGATTTGAAAGGTTCTTTGCAAATAAATCAGAGCTGAGTATAATATTTCAGTATATCTATGACTTGTACGAGTTTGTGAACAAATCTTCATATTAAACTCTTAACTTGTCATTGTGCTGTCATCCCTTCTACTGCTGTGTTTTAGGAATCCTGCTCTTTGGAATTACATTTCTCAGCAGCTACTTTAGTGTAGCTATTAAGGTTATTTGATTTCTATGCCTGTCTGGTTCTGGAGCTTGGGTTTGGGTCTGCTCCTTCACGCAACAATGAAATCAGCAGCAAATAGAAATATATCTCAAAAGTCCTTTTACCTACTTCAGCACTGTGCCCGAGGGCACTGACATTTTTGAGAACTCCTAGTACTCATAATGTTTGAGCACAGTGAATATAAAATAAAGGATTGACTCAATTAAAGGACCATCAAGTTAAAGAGGAGAGGTTTTATCATCCCTTTCATTTTCTTTTAAGAATAGCAAAACAACATTCCATTGTTTGGTACCCTAAAGCCTGAAAACACTCTTATTTTAGTTCTTCTCTGTGGGATTTTTGTCTCACTCATTCTGCTGTCTTGCATACTAAGGTCTGCCCACACATTTTTAATGATGTTATGATCAGGAGAATGTGAAAAACACATCAAAAGCCTCACCATATTCCTCTAGGTAATCCATTGTGGAATTTGAGATGTGTTTTAATGATTATGCTGCTGAATTTCTTATTTTTACCTAAAGCTTTTTAAGAAATGGCAATATGGTATAGTTAGGATGGCTCAGGTGGTCCAAAAACATCTCATAGTTATGCTGCTACAAGCCTAAACTAGACTGCTGGGGGATGTCCCATGATGCGCCTGAATCTGCTTGATTTACCCTCCGAGTTCATTTCTCTTTCTCAGCGAATACCCCTGGTCAGGTTTAATGGAGCTTGTTGTCCCTATTTTCCTGTCTTCTCAAAACCCAGCTGGTCAGGGCACACGGCCATACTCTCTCATTCTGGCTTTGCCTCAAGTTTTTTTTCTTGATAAATGGGAATTCTTTTCTTTTTTTTCATACCTGCCTTTTGCACACTTACGATTAGATGAAGGAGGAGGCTCTTTGCAAACTGTTGTTTTCAACTTTGAAAATTTGAGTGAACTGACACTGTACAAAAACTGTTTGGCCTAAAACGATTTAAAGGATGTTTTATCTAAAATGCATGTATAAATGCATGGTAGTTTTACTGTTACTTGCGCAAAAATATGTGTAACAATAGGAAAAGGTAACGCACCATAAAAACAAAAGGCAAATATGTATTCAGGCTACTTATATAATACGGATTTTGATTCGTCCAGCAGACCGTAATGAGACATGATGATATTTTATACAGAAATTCTATTAAATCCAACATTTTCTTTTTTAATTCCCAGGACGGAATACTTATCCATTAAGACATGAAGTACCTTCTTAACATGAGTAAAAGAGTCTTTACATTTTCATTTAGGTCTTAATGACCAAAAGCTCTCAAACTTTTTTCATCTAAATGGCAGCTGCAGAGTGTCTAAAGGTTTTACCTACAACTTAGGTGTGTTGAGGAAGGTTATGGGCTGTTAAAAAATGAAGACTTTCTTATTGAATTTGAGGGAAGTAATGCTTTCAATTATTTCCAGACAATCTAAATTACATGCACTTCTGTGAACAGATTGCCTAAAAAACAACATATTTGGGGCTTTGCAACAGTTACGCTGGGGTTGCATCTCCTATTCTGACACCACAAGTCAGACATTTAACTTTTTTTTTAATAGTTACATTTTGCACCTCCTAACAGAAAACTATCTGACTTCTTAAAAAATGAAACGTAAATCAATAGTAAACATAAATCAATAAGATAATGTGTCCAACAGGCCGCCCCGTGATATGCATGGTCCACATTTGTTCGTTTCCCCACAGGAATATAGGTATAATTTCAAGTCTTTTATTATCGCCTCCAGGGCTCTCACCTGAGGCTTCGAGAGCGAGGGCGGACATGTGGCGAGCGTCGCCCTCCATCATCGTCTGTGATGCTTTCTGTGCTGCCAAAGTGCTTGGACAGGAAGTGCAGCTCATCCATGGTCGGCTGGAAGGGCAGCTGGTGCAGACGCTCCTGAGACGAGCTGGATGACTGCACAGAGAACACAGACATGAAAAAGAGCAAGAGGTTGAGATGCGACCTGATCTTTGTTTGATTTTTGTAAAAGCTTTTGTACGAGCCGCGACATCAAATGTTTAAACGTAGATACCCAGAGATGAACAGGGGACATCAAAACAGAGAAGTACAGAGGAGTGTAAAAACAGAGAAAACAAGAAGAAAAAGGAGAGTACACGGTTTGCTGTGATGTGAGTGGGTAGAAAGAAATGAAACAAAGAAGTCACAAAGTTAAAAGAACAAGGAAGAAAAGAGAGAGGTGGAAAAGCATGGAAAAATACCCAGAAGGGGTTTGTGTAGGAGGACAAAACAGAATAATGTGGTCTGAAAAATAGAGCAAATAACTACTGCAGGGTATGAAGGAGTCACTCAAAGTAAAAGTTGACTGCTGCTTTAAGTGTTTGATGTCACAGGGGGGTAGATGGTTGCGCTGTTTGGTCTTAAACAAAAGACTTTTTCTTTTGCGCAGGAGTGGGGAAAATGGCCTGGATCAATGGGAGACTTAATGAACTCGTCTCCCAATGGGACCCCGCGGTTGGCTTTGGCCACACAATCACTTTCCAAAAATCCATTCAGGTCTGAGCCACTTGCAAACTGCAGAGAGGCAGTGAATGAAACGGTGATGTCATGAGGTTCGACTGACGTAATCAATTAGTAGTTTCCTGGATGCAGAGCAAATATGAATGAAATGTCATCGGATATGATGGTTGTCAGGGATGAAAAATGTCTTGCATCTCTTGATCTTTATGGAATGCAATTTCAGTCTACTTAATTGATTTCAGAGTTTTCTTCACTTATTCACATTTCACAACTGTTCAAGAACAGATGGAAAAACTAAATGTGATAAGAGGGCTTAACTTTGTAGAGACGAGACGTTGTTTCCTCTTTGTTGCTTAGATTGATCACCTTTCTTTCAGCTTCAACGAGCCTGCTTCTTTCTAAGGTGTTTAAATGATTTTGTTTGTCGATCAGCCTCAGCAAGTCTGACTATCAAGGCCATATGCACTATTATTCTGGGAAACACTGGGCCCTTGAATACAAATGGAGGACATACTACATACGCAAGATTTCGCCCATGGCACCTTAGTTTGGCAGTGGCTTCTCATCAGCAGGATAATGAGTTGCCTTGTGTCGCTGTGTTTTTCTCAATGCAAGAAAACCACGAAGAACCCAAGGTCATGTTTCACATCTACAGACCAACCCAGCAGTGCTAGTTGCGCTGAAAGTCAATCAAGACAAAGAGAAACCACCTACCAACATACAGAATCCAATAGATCAGCCAATGCTACTGTCAAAAACCACAGGATTCTCGCTAAGAATCCTAAGAACAATGTTTCTTGTGTTTCAGCTTTATGTCAGACCCAATTTCTTCTTAGGCTTTAATAACATTGTGGAGCATCTGTTATTATATATTCTAAGTTATCCTATAGGTTATTCTTCAAATTTGACATGAAATAGTTTGAAGAATCACCAGATAACCTTATCTTGGCTCTTACTTTGTTTAATGTGTTACTAAATAGATTATAGCAATATGACAAACAGAAGCCAGGATCCAATGTCAGGGCTGTATTTGTCCTGGTCTAAAAATGCTCTGCTGCAGCAAAGGAGAGCCTCATTTTCCTAGGTTTTCTTTTACAGTCTGCTTTACTGTCATGCCTCCACCTTCCGCTGCTTACAATTCACACCGGTGCTGCTTCATCTTTAGCTTTAACTCGCCTTTGAAAAGGAAACTCCTTCAAACACACACCTCTCATCTACTCCATTCTGCATGCAAGCGCCCCGCTGTAACTAATCAAGCAAGTAATGGCCCATGTAAGAACCAGCAGAGCAGCGAACACTGATGGGGTGGAGGAGGAGACATGAGGTGGAGAAGAGCACAGACATAGCACTCATCTCACCTACCAGCAAAAAGAGATGAATGAGTAATCTAGTCTGTGTGTGTGTGTGTGTTTTTATAAGCTGCAAGGGCTGCAAGGGAACATGTGAGAGGTGGTCAATGAAAGAAATGATGTGTGAAAAGTAGAAAAAAGACTCAGAGGAAGTTTCCATTTACTAAATTCTCCATTTAGTAAATGGAAAATTTACTAAATGGGGCTTAGCAGGATTAACTTCTCAGAAAGGCCTCCTCTGTCCCAAAAATATTTGCTCTCAGACAAATGGTAACATTGCTTGCCTGAAATACTTCAATCCAAATTCTCTTTCTACCAACATTTTTTCATTTGTCCCAACTGGCCCTAAACATCATCCCTCACTTCCACTCTGGGTATCTAGTTATGCATAAAGAAATGATTTGCTGCTGTATAACCGATGGGGAAAAACACCACGGATTGGCTAGATTACATTTCATTCATCGCTGCTTCAATTTAATGTTCCGAAAGGCCAAGTGTTAGATAAATCAGGTCGACTACATCTTAGCAACTGATTAGTTATTTTTAGTTCCGGTTTAAGATTTAAAAACGTGCCTGAGACTTTCAGCATAAAACACAAAGTTAAGGAGGGCAGGAGTGTGGGTGTTTGTGTTGAGTTCAGCTGTGATTGTCGTGTAATACAATAATAATTTCCAAACAGAACACAACTTCAATAGCTGGATTCAGGACATAAATCAACGAGTAAAGTTGCTGGTTTTGTCAGTGACAAATATATGTACATTTTTGGACATTTCACCTGATCAGTTAGAAATATTTTGCAAAATTTCGATATAACTATCAGGAGTCAATACTTAAAGTACATTAGTGAGATGATAATAAGAAAAACAACGATCCTTTGTGTTAGTATCAGTTTACTTTCTGTACTTCCACTCCGCTTACTGCTCTGTTAAAACTGGAAAGCATCCCAGTAAATGTTTGTTCCCACGATGAGGTGAAAGGAAGAGAGATCCTCTGGAGTGTAGTTTGATAACTGCAAACTTAATGTCACAAGGACACACTTAGTCAGAAGTATTCTGCATTTGAGAAGGGCTAAATTATAGTGATTGCTGCTAGAATCAGATTCAGGAAAGTTGGGGTTACCATTACTAGATCTGTTGAGTGATCTGTCATATTGGTAACCTTTAAAAGGGGATAATTTAAAGATTACATTAATAACTTATTTAATGTATCTTTATATTCACATAATAAAAGGACAAGTGTCCTTGTGAGTAAAAGGACATTTTGGCGTTTGGATATGATCTTTAAAACAATGACCTGTCAGCTCAACTACATGAGCAGAAGTTATCGTATATGATTTCTGAGACTCAGGAGACTGTGCTGCCCAGGCCAAAAACCTTGTTCACCTGCTGATATATGATCAGGAATCGGCACACAGTGAAAGGAGTCCTCTATATTAAACTGCGCCACACATCACTAAACATGGAGGCGGCTGACAGATTTTCCCATCAGACACATAGAACACAGCCTTGACAACACCCTCACTGCTATCCATAGTATCACAGTCACATCTTACATGATGTTTAAGAACTCATATGACATTTCACACTTGCAAGTCAGTGGTCTCTGTTACATTTATAGTTCCAAATAAGCCAATGGGAGATTGAGTGTTCTGGGACCCCCCAAAAGCCAGTTAGAACTGAAGAAGCCTGAAAAGGCTTTTGACTTTTGAGAGGTTGCAAATCCATCACAGGGCCAAGCATACACAGACAGACTCCAAACAGAAAGGCCCCTGACACCCTTTAACCAACCTACACTGTGCAGCCCCTATTGCCTTTTAACCTGTTAGAAAATAAACACAAACATCTGTAATATAGGAAATACATGGTGATAGAAATGTATATGAATGAAAGCTCATTGGAATTTGAGTATGGACACTCAACTGAACACTGAACTTGTATACACAGGCTGAATCTTAAATGTGAAAGGCATCATACTTTTGTCCGTTTCTTTAAAATAATTAATCGATTTTATTTATTTCCTTCTTACATGTGAATATGTTTTTTTGAACATGTGTTTCTACATGTGAATATGATGTGAAAGCTGTCATTTAGGTTAACATTTGGCTGTGATCCATCACCAAGGTTGCAGGTTCATTAACACTCTTTATATACACATATTAAACACTGTGAGACTGAAATGCCTCAAAAAATAAAACAAAACAGTTCAACACATGCAACAAATCTTAGGGGCATGTCTGAAACATTCCAAATATTGTGCGCCAAGAGTGATGAGAACATTGTTTTGTACTTTTGACTTTTAAAAAATGATTTAATCCTGAGTTACTTAATCTCTGTAACTGGAGACATAAAGCGGGGGATTACCCTTTTCATCAAAGTGATTATATGATCCTGTGCTAAAAAATCTTTTTCATATCCAGCAGGGAAATATAGTCAAAAGAGGAAACTTACTGTTGAGCTGGGTGTGTTGGTCCCATAGCCTGAGGAGGGCAGAGAGGCCAAAGACCATCTTCGACCATCAGCCCTGACAAAAGCAAAACAAAACAAAGGTTGTAAAAATGGAAAATATGTTAGACATACAAGCTGTAAAAGCTGTAATCTTCCATTACTTTCCCTCACTGTTACACAACATGACTTCTGTCACCTTCCCATCCTCTCAGTCCTATTGCATTTTTTGCTTCTGTTAATCTTCTTCTCCCTGCGGTCTCCTCCTACCATTCTAGAGTCTGACATGTTGTCTGAGTGAGTGATGAGGCCCACCGTTCTGGCACCTCGCCTGATTCATACTGTGTCAGCCTGCTGTCATGCCTCTGTGACACAGTCATGGTTGGAGCAGGCCAGGACAAAGACAGGTTTCTTTTCCACGGTGTTACGTGTGGCTGAGTTCCCTGAGGAGTTTCACTGTGTGTTTGTGCATGCAGAAATCATCTACTTTGCATTTGCTCTTGAAATTATGCGCATCCGATTTCTGACGTAAAACAGGAGAATGCCAACCTTCGAGACGAAGCAAAGGAGAAGTGGGCAGGGCCGCTAGGGGAGAAGTTCCGTGGGCTGTCCAGGGGACTGCTTCCTAATGAAATACAAGTGGAAAGAGGAGAGCAGCAAAGAGAAAAGGGTAGTGATTAGGCAGGATAATAAACCTAAAATAAGATCAGTTTATCTTGATTGAAGTGACAATTATTCAAAGTGAAATCGGCTTTAAAAAGGTTTTGTCTAGGTACAAAAATTGAGAATAAAATGAAAATCTTAGTAAAGAAAACCGCATACAGGGTTAATATAAACTAACAGCTGTTTTTAATCACTCTAACACCTACTTTCAAGACACCTACAGACTACGTGCATCTCAGCCCTGATCCATCTGCTTGTAGTTTAAAGACAGAGTGTTGATGAGCAGGTTTTCACATTGTTTGTCTGGAGAGCACAAGCGCTTCTCTGCGTGTGAGAGCACATTTTGGCAAAAGCCCCGATAAACACGAAGATGGTGACGTCAGTCCATTCAAAATAAATCATTCAAATGTTGAGCGTGTTCTGTTTTGTAACCCTGACTGACAGGTTGAGGGAAGGGAGTTATTGCGTTATGCTGTGCTGTGTGATTTTAAGATGCAAAGCAAAGTGATTTGAACTTTTGTTGGCCCTGTGATTCCATTCAGAATAAAAGAGATTTAATACATAATTTCTTAAGAGGCTGGTGTGCATAATACTGACCTATATGTCCAGGTAGAGGAGAGTGCGGCCTCGGCAAGGTGGGGGATGTACTGGTAAGGATGAGGCTTTTCCTGTTACTGGTCCTGCAACTGCAACAACAACAAGCACAAAGAGAATCTAAGTATTTTTTTCCCAATTATATAAAACGAACAGCTTTCAGTGAAAGAAGGTGCTGTGTGCTTGCATGTCATACTGGTAAAATATGTCATAAAACTGTGTGGGCGTATGCGTCAGGGGATGAAAACCATCACTAGTGCCCAGTCAGAGCTCCATCTTGAAAGCTTTATATTCTCTATACTGTATTCTGAATCAAACAAAGAGACCAGCTTCTAGCCAGCTCTACCTGAGACGAACCATCCTGTAAAACTCATGCACCACCAGGTTGGATCTCATTTACCATTACATAAGTGCCTTGACTGTAAAGGGTCTCCAGACAAAGAGCTTTAAAAACTGTCCAGATCAGCTATCTGGGTTAATTGCCATAATTTCGACCTCTTCATTGAATGATTTCTTTGTCCTACATACCTGAACTTACATCAAACAAAATTGACTGCCTAAATTATTATTACTGAAATGGCACAAATTCAAAGAGAAAGTAGTTATTTTCTATAGTGTACAGCCTTGTTGAGCATAATCAGGAAGAGGAAACAGGTATAAAGATGGAGAATGGTATGTATATCATTTTACTACACAGTCTTTTCAAGTCTGTCGTATTAGAAAATCAGAACAATCTCTAAATACTCCTTCTGAAAAAAGTTATGTTCAATTAGTAATGTCCACAGTAGCCATCTCATGCAACCATAACTCATGTTTGATCATGAGAGTTCCTACTGAAAGCTACTTAAAAGAATCTAAAAAAAACAATACACATTATTCTAATTAAATGCGCTTTGTGTTTTTACATTCACACCCACAAATAGAGTGAACCCTTTCTAAAAATGGGTGCACTTATTCACTTTCTTCATTTCTACACGCGTAAAATTGCATTTCCTGATCTGACCTTGATAGTCTCCTGATATACCGCAGTATATGTTTAAAAGAAATTATTTGTTAGATTTCTATTTCTCCAAATAGAGCTTGATAACTCCTTTTTGTTGTTTTCTATGACAATAATAAAGTCTTGTGTAAGCTATGAGGACCGTGTGTACATGGGTGGATATGATATAGGATTTTATTGACATCTGCAGATTCGCAATGGGGAGCGACAAACCAACAAAGATTTTTAATTTCCTCATGGTCCAGTTCTGTGACAGCTGCTGCTTTGGAAGACAGCGACATGAGTGATAAGGGGAGGAGGGGGAACAGTGAGGAAAAATGGGGCTGGGGAAGACAGGTATAAACTTTAATGAAGAACTGAAATTATTGAACCATAAAGACCACATGCTGCCACGTGTCACCGAGCGTTTTCACAAGGGATCACACACGGAGACACAAGTTTTATTGTCTTATGTAACAACTCATAAAGTGGGAAGTGGATTGTTCAGGTGTTATTTTCATGTGTTGCCTGGGTCTGCTCGCTGGGTTTTTATGTGTTGGTTTTATGAGAGTGCCTGTCAGACCAGTTTTTTTTTTTTAAAAGGGGGGAAAAAAAGAGAGAGAAACTCCACCAAGTTTTCATCTCATTGCATCATCCGGCATGATGCCCTAAATCTGCACAGGAAACTCTGAAAATCATAGTTGCACTCTTAAAAATACGAGGACACAGTTACACAACAGATGCTTGATGTTTAATGCCTCTCGAATGACGTGAAAACCTTGTTTCTATTATCCATGGTAACAACTTCCACCACTGCCTAAATGCCTCTTTCTGATGTGACTCTTGTGACTCTTGTGACACTCATAAAAACGGATGGCAAGAAAACCTCTCGAACGATCTTATTATATTATTATCTTAGTATTATTGGTGGCATGGTGCCTCTTTGGGCGCCAGCTGAGGGTTAGCTTGTACTCAACCTTGCACAACAGAAGGAGGAACATATTAAAATATTTAAGAGAAATGCATTAGGCTTTGAACAGATGACTGAAAGCGGTTTAACACAGCCCTTCGCTTCAGCTCTTTAAATGAGAATAGAGGGGTGAAACAAGGCAAGGCAGAAAGAAGACAAAGCAGAAGACGTACGCCAATAAAACTATCTCTTTAGTGTCATCCTCTACCGTTCCCTATTCAGGGACATGGTCTTGAAGTTGCACTAAGTGGACTAAGGCTCCTTTTGTTTCTTGACCTTGCAACTTGAAAATCTGAATAACAATATTTGCTGTTTCTCAATTGAATCTGACTCACTTGAGTTTGTTCTGGCTTTTAATGGTCCATCTTATACTACAGCTTCTCCTGGAGAACAGAGAATCAACAAACTGACAATGTTTCACAGTAAAGCAGACTATAAAAGACCATGTTAAAGAGCTGGGTTTAATCCCACCTTCTTTGTTCCTGAGAACTTGCTCTCAGTTAAGATGACTTTAACACCCAAGAGTAATTCATCACTCATACAGTTCCCAATTCTTCCACTGAACCATCCTGCTGTCTCCTCGCAAATGAAGTCTCTAGGTGATAAATAATTGAAATGTGAAAACTCATGCTCATTGTTCCTCGGCAGCAACCCTTTCAAGAGTTAAGCATTTGACAAACCTATTAAGGACAGATGGGCCATAAAAAAAAAACCTGATGGCAAAAACAATCCAATTTCCCCAAGAAGCCAGCCAGAAGTCTCTTTGCTTTACAGAACTGTCATCGTAAAAGAATGCTGCAAAAGGGCATCTTGCCCAAAGCACTTGTACTATAACTATAAGCTGTAATGGGAACCCTGATCTTTATTCAAGCTGCTGGTCATCACAGTAAAGGTCAGGCTGTAACTACATTTCTCTTAAAAGGCTCATCATATAGATGATGTGCAATGTAAAGCTATATATATGTCAGTCTCATTACTTTGTGACTGTTAGAGATCATATCATTTTAAACATGTGTAGGGTTTTATTACATCCAATTACATTAAGGTGCTTCAGTACATTCTCAACAAATTTCAACAGTTTGTTGACTTCCTGACTTTTCCTGACTTTTCACCTAAAACTTCGTGTTATAAGAAGGATCTGAACATTTTCTTCACCCACGTATTCCAATTCAGGGTCAATAGACGTACATTTTGAGACTTTCATAGTTTTTGGAATAATTTTTCAGGAATTAATAATCCCTGACATCTCTCCTTCATGAAATTATTCAAATTATTATTATGACTATGCTTGATAACTGAAATAACAATATTTGGGAAGAACATAGACAATTGGTCATCACTCTTAATACTAATAATGTGTGTCTTTAAATCTCCAACACAAAGGCAGACTGATTGCTGTTACATGTACGTGCCAGATTGAAGCTCTTTAAAAAGCACATATTTCAGATTTTTATCACAGGGACAACTGTGATTTAATTTTTTTTTTTTTAATGGCTGCAGGACATTCAGATCAAAAGTTAAAATATTCTTAGACTGTGTCTGTCTCCCTGCCTAAGCTTATAGGGACACTTAATGGAACCGAACTATCATTAACAAGAATAGTCTCACCCTTGTGGTTTTCTTTCAGTAACAAAGGTTTATAATGAGACGAAGATGAAACAGCAAAGATGAACAGTGTCCAAGCATGGAGGCGTGCCAGTTATTCCGTTTACATCATACAGTGTCATGTGACTCTTTGCAGTCTGGTACATTTGGCCTCCTTCTGTTACACTGCAAAGAAATAGCATTGTGAAGTGTTTAGTGGGATTTGGAGCTCCAGGCGTACTCTCTGCCTTTTATCTTGATAGGCAAACAGCATTCTCCTGAAGGATTTGAGACCAGATATGATCAACAAACATTGTGCCGATCTGGGAACACAGAGGCAGTCAGCTCAAGGTCCAACAAAATCAACCGAGACTAATGTAATTTATGAACAGACCTTTTATGACAGTAACTTGCTAACAAAAAAGAGGCACGAGCAAGACGGCAACTGTGAAAAATATCAATCGACAGCACGGAGAACTTGTATAGCCAAGGGCTTTTTTAACAAATGCAAGAAAAAATCTTTCTTCCTAGCTTCTTTTGCAGTTTCTACTGTGATTCTTATTTGGCTAATTGAATTGTAAAACTTATTTTCCCATGGAAGTGTCGTGGCTTTAGCCAGGTCACAGGGGGGGTGTTCTACAGAGCTGTCAAGCCAGGAAGTAATAATACCACAATAATACTAAAAACTCTAAATAAATCACATTCTTATTAGGTTGTGGGTGTTTTTGTTTCTAATCTATTTGACACTCTTCACTTGTGTTAAGGAAAACATCTTCTTGGATCCGTTGGTGCACAATACATGTGTTTTCTTTGCTTTCAAGGGTGGTGAAACGGTCAACAGTCGTTAAATTGCCTGTCTTTTGGAGGGTAAGTGGGTGTAACCTCAAAACGCAGCGCCAACTGTGATGACATCATGCGCATCCTGTCCACAGACATAAGGCTGGAACATGAATGTTTTTTTTCATCCGTCATGCTAAAATTCTCAATTTATCTTTGTCAGACCAAATAAGGTAAGGTAATCTAGCTAAAGATGTGCTCATTCTTTCTTATCCAGTGTTTTCTGTCTCGCTATGACAATCCTTCCAGATCATTAGCTTAACGTTATAGTTTAATGATCATTGTAAGGGCCATGGGCAGTTAGCAAGAGTTTGAACCAATGTGCTGCAGGTTCACTTGACTGTAAAAGCAAAAGAGAAAAGAGAGCTGCTTGAGGAATGAAATTATGTGTGCATAAGTGTGTTTTTCAATAACTCAGTGGCACGTATGACCATGAAGCCAAGGCTAATCCGCAAGGCTTTATGCAGGGAGAGAGGTTTGTTTTAGTATGCAATATACTGTTGTCTTTGACTCATAAAGGTAAAGCTGTCGCTGTTTTGGTGATTCAAACACAGTTTACAGCCTTAAAAAAACTCCACATTATACACTATATTCAAACCCTTTCAGACCGAATGGGGCTGATTAAGAATGAGGTCTGACTATCCACAAAGAACAGACCAAGAAGAGGAAAGGTGAAGAGCAATAAGAGGGGAGAGCGCATGTATTTGTGCAACGTTGCCATAGCAACACATTTGGAGTCACACTCAAAAGCAAACACTGATGTTTCTGA